AAATCATTTCAATTTTCTCAAAAATAAATTCTCACTTGTCCTTTATACAGAATAATTATATTAAATTGACAGATCAAACAAAAGTATTGTTTTCACTCAAAACCTTTTTTTTCTATTTACAAGACCTCTGAGTTTGAAACAATTAGCTGTACACATATAATCTGCTACACATGTCAATTGCTACAATTTACACAAAAAATCTGCATGCTGTTCTTATGATCCATCCATATATATACAAATGAATCAACTGTTCTTTTTTTTTTACTCCTTTTTTTTAGAGTCTGAATATCATTTCCATCATAAGGTAATGTAAAAAGAATGTAATACAGGATGAATTTAGCTAAGTTAAATGTCCAATAATTCAAAGCAAATATGGCTCCTTTTGTATAACACTAAATGATCTTCAACTGTCTCAACTTTTGGACTACATAGCCACATTTTCATGCTAGAACGATACAAACAAATTAGAAAAACTTCAAAGCAGAGCTTTGTCTTACTGTCTTATAGGATATCTGTCACCATGTTGCATAGATAATTGATTTTCTAACAAGTTGACCTGAGTGTGTATTTCATTCGATGACACTTTCGTTACGTTAAACTACTCCTTTACAAATGCTTTCGAAAACCTAACTTTTTCCAAACATTACACAGTTATTTATCACAAAGAATCTAGAACATACTGCACAGCTTCTGGGTGTCTTTTAAGTGTGTGGGTTTTCAAGTTACCCTTTCTTGAACTTTTGTAGTCGCAAAAGGTACATTCGAAAGGTTTCTCTCCGGTGTGCGTTCTCATATGTCTTTCAAACTGGCTTTTTCCAGATACAATTCTCCGGCATTCTCCGTATTTACAAATATAAACGTGCATTCCACCTTTAACGGAAACTTCGTAAAACTGAGGATCAACACCCTGTAACAAAGACCCCTGTGGCACTCCTTGAGGTATCTGCAAGTCTGATGTCTGTGATAAAACCCCCTGTGCTCCACCAGCCGAGGATTTTTTCTGCAACATGGCTGCAACATCAGCTGTTCCATTGTCCATCGTAATATATGGTGAGAACATTTGTGTGGACACTTGATTACCTCCCCTTTCCTGTCCTAGCGTGTACGAGGGCCCGTCTGTAAAAATAACAGAACAAGTGTTTCAAAAATTAAAAAATTTCTTCTTTTTTATCAATGCAAGTTCGATATTTTCTTGTGAAAAATATGTGTATCTAAGAAAGTACTAATGCAAAGATCTGTGGAATCATGTAAAAAAACAAAACATTTCAATGGTCAGTTTTTTATTTATTTTTAATGCACAACCAACCAAAAGAAATATAGACTAGGTAAGTATACATTACAATATAAACTAAACATTGTTACAATATTACATATTGTAGTATAAAACAGTATAACATAATTATAATATACAGACATTAAATTTGATCTCAAATAACTTAAGAAACAGGTTTCTTCTTTTGATACTACCATATTACTGAAATATTTTCCCAATTCTTGTTATGTTTAAAAGGCATTTGAAAAAAATCCAAACTACAAGTTCTAGAGTAACTAATATAAACAACTGCCCACACAAATAAAAGATTATCTTCTTTGTACTCATTTTTTCTTTGATTTTCAATGGGTTCCCTTTTGCATAAAAATATTTTTTCAGGATTTAACAATTCCCTTTCAGATAAAAAAAATTATAAAAAAAAATCAGCACCATTATTGCAGGGGGCTTCTTGAGAATGTTTTGCTTTTTAGTTATAGAAGTTTGGCATTTGGATTACCTCTGTTAAGCAATTGTAACTACATATATGTAGGGGAAAAATGGCTTAAATGATATAACAATGTGAAATAAAATTTCTTTTCATCCTGCCCTTCATAATATTATGATTCTCCCAATTTCAATGGCAAATTATGCCTTTTATACCCAAATGTTCAATATCCAAACTTTTCCAGACATGAAACATCAACTTGAAACTCCATAAAATCAATCTTTATAAAGATCTTTATTCTTTTTAGAGTTACTACTTTGAAGATCCCTCTTGCACAGACACAGGCCTTACATGCAGGTGTTGATTTTATTTTTACACTGCTCTTATCAAACTTGCACTTATTCATTGCACAACACTTTGTAGATACACCTGCCCCGGAGAGGGTTATGTACAGAACTGGATGAAGAAGGACTCTTAATGTTTTCTTAACAAATGTACTCTTAAATTATCTTTCCTAGAATACTTTAATCCACAAAAGGTGCATATAAACAATTTCTCCCTCTTGTGGGTCTGAAAGTGTCGGTCAAGACAAAATTTCCTAGTGAACACTTTCCCGCAGTCTTTATACCCACACTTGTACATTTTTTCCCCGTTTCTTATAATAACCTCAAAACAATGCGCTACATCACTCGGACCAATGTTTTTTACGATTGCAAACTTGTCAATATTTCCATCAAAACTTGATGCGACCCTATCTGAGCATTCCGTATTTGACATAGATCCTTCCAGACCATGCGCAGACAATGCATGCAGTCCAGTTAAAGGCAATTTCCCAATTTTTGATGTGTGCACGCCCGGTAAAATTGCACGGTACTGTTCTGTACTTTCAGATGTACCTGCCACATAAGGATCTACCATTTCAGTATAGTCACCGGCACCAGGCTCTAGTAGTCCGTAAGTTCCAGACAAGTCTGAAAGTACAGTACAGTGATTTTTCTTTTAAAATCGTAATAGATTACTTAAACTTACAACAATATAAAAATTTAATATATACGTCCTTAGGAGCTCAACTAGGTCAAATAGCCTTAAACCATAAATTTTGAAATTCTTACAGAGATCAAGTGAATAATAATGAAATACACCCTAAATTAAATTGAAAATTGATTATTTGTGTAATAACCAAATCTGAGTATAAATTTCATTTTTCCATGCATTTCATTTTTGGTTAATTTTGCACATTTAAAACCATGATTCTGGAAAAACATGAGGGGATGATAATATTATGAAATTATGCATGTCCTAGTTACTGGTCTAGACTTACATTAGATGGTACTGGAATCTCGAAGTAATATTTCCAGTCCTGTCATGTCAAAATTTCCCAGTGGAAACTAGGTTAATTTATTATGTCAAGCAGACAGAAAATTACATCACTATACAGGTATTATCGTTTTTTTTGTTACAAAAATATCAATAAAATCATGTTACAATAACATCTTGCATGCTCAAAAATAAATCATCTATATACAAAAAAAAAAGCTTAATAATGTTAGATCGACAAAGGCTTTTTTATTCAAATTTCCTAAGTATTTGTGTAAGGTGAACATTCGTGTGTCTTTAACACTAGTTCTCACAAGAAAGATTTCAAATTAACTTTATTTTTATGAACGTTCATTTTGTTATTTGTAGATAAAATCAAAAATATATAGCTAAAGGTTATATTAGGACATTATTTGATTTGTTAAAATTTTATAGCTTTCAAAATGTTATTATATCAATTATCCCATGTTCCTTTCTGCACTCATTTCTTTGCCAGCATTATATAGCCAGGACAGCCTGCACTGCCATGCATAGGAGTCCGTACTCTCAGTGCCTAAAATGGCAGATGGACCCTCATTAAGCCTAGAATACATACACTGCCATATATACTGACCAGTATCTATATTAATGGCCGACTTCTTTTAAATTAACATCTTGATATTCAAACAACTGATATCATTTAAAAAAAAAAAAGCTTGACAAATCAATGTCAAAAATTCAACAGATACAGCCTTTTAGTTTTTCAACACAATTAACACAGACAAATTAAGAATGATAAGAATTCAATGATGAAATTATATTACATAAATGATGAATATAGCATAATATTAAAAAATCTTTCTCTTCATCAATATGACAATTCAAACGATTCCAGTATGTTTAAAATGAAATCCCACAAAAAATATTGCATTTCCTTCATCAAAAGATTATGAAAGGAAATAATGTTGTCTTAACTGTTGGCATTTTATATGATCTTTCCACGAGCTCCGAAGTTCACAAATCTTTTGCTCCATTGATAAGACTATTCACAAGTCACCCGTGAGTCTCCCCAAAAACATCACATTTTCTTCAACTTAAGATTACGAAATGAAATGATGTTGTCTTAGCTGGTGGCGTTTTATATGATCCTTCCGAGAGCTCCGAAGTTCACAAAATTCACACTTGTACGGTTTCTCTCCTGTATGAGTTTTCAGATGTCGAATCAGGCTTTGTCTCCTGTTGAAAGACTTGGTACAAGGGTCAAAATTGCATATGTACATATTGAAACATGTATCTCTTTTTTTCCTAAAATATGTAAACCCTTCTTTGGAGACAAGTGGAGTTTCTTCTTTAATGTCATCACATCCAACGTTTTCTGTGTCTGTGGTATCTTCCAGTGTTTGTTCTTTTTTAACAGTAAGTCCATCATAATTGTCTATGTCTGCAGTAATTGTAAGTGTCGGTTCTTTTTTAACGGTATGTCCATCATAATTTTTGATGTCTGCAGTAATTGTTGGTTCCTTTTTAACAGTAAGTCCATCATCATTTTCTATGTCTGCAGTAATTTTAAGTGTTGGTTCCTGTTGTTTAACAGCATATCCACCAACTTTGTCTATATCTATATCTGTAGTAATTGTAAGTGTTGGTTCTTTGTTATTATAATGCCCAGCAATGTTTTCTATGGCTACAATAATCTCGTCCTCTCTATCAGCTAAAGTTTCAGGTTTACAGTTTATATCTAAAACAGAAAGGTCTCTCTTTAGGATTTGATTAATCATAAATGTCTTAATTAACAAGTCAATTAAAAACATATCTAAAGGCAATTGCAGAATATTGAGAAACTGTCCCATCTTACAGAGGTGGTTATATTATCCAGGACTCTCAACTTGCACAATTTTTTCTTCTTCCTCAAATATAACGTAAATACTATTACCATTTTATTTTTTATTAATTTTATCAAATATTTAAACTTGTTCTAACTGTACACTTAACATAAAACAATTGTCTTAAAAAATCGAGTAAGACTATTTCCTAAGCAAAAAACTGCCCTACCAGCAAAGGGCCTTAAAACACTTAAAATAGAACAAAATTTCAAAATTCAAAAACTTACAATAATATTTCAGAAATACCAATGGATTGTTATAACAAGAGCTGTCATATGGAATGAACACTCAACTTTTTCTCAGTGCCTGATAGTAATAAAAGAGCTTGGATAATGTAAAAACATTACTTAGTTATATGTCTTGAAAAGAATGTTCTATGTTCTGAAAGGGTCAAAGTTCATGTCAGAGTTACGGACCTTATGAAGTGACTAGATTAAAGTTTCAAGAGAATAATTTCAAGTTCATTTGCTTTAAAGATTGATTGACCAAAATAATTTTCTCAATTCAAAAAAAGGTCTATAATTAATCAAGACAAGGAACAAAGTTAAAGCCCCTGGCCTTTGAAGGTAGGGGCAAGGAATAAAGTTAAAACCCATGGCCTTTGAAGGTAAATCTATGCAAGGAACAAATTTCACAACCCCGAGGCCTTTGAAGGTAGATGCAAGGAACAAAGTTCACAACCCCCAGGCCTTTGAAAGTAGGGGCAGGTGAAAGTAGGAGCAAGGAATAAAGTTAAAATCTCTGGCCTTTGAAGGTAGGGGCAAGGTATCATGTTAAAACACCTGGCCTTTGAAGGTAGCAGCTAGCTAGCTAGAGGCAATAAAACCCCTAGCCTTTGGAAGTAGAGGCAAGGAACAAAGTTATAGGAGAAAGTGATCTTAATCAAATTCTCAAACTTATTACAGCACAGGTTCAAAGCTCTACTTTAATTTAATGATACCATGTTGTTGAAACATGTGATTTGTAAGATAGTCTGCCCGACGGAAATGTCTATAGCACATGCCACACACAATTGGTTTTTCTCTTGTGTGAATTTTATAATGTCGATAATGGCTTCTTTTATATTTGAACACTTTGTTGCAGTTTTTAAATGCACATCGAAATACACTACAATCTCCTTCTTTCAACACAGTATATGTAGAAGCGTGAGGTAACTCTTCTCCATGCCCTCTTTCCTCTGTGAAAGAATTCTCTTCACTGAAATTGTCATAATTTTTTCTGCTGTAGGTTTCTGAAGAGCAATGAGCATCTGAAAGAAGAAACATTTCAATTAGTTCAGTGTTGTTGTTTTGTTGCTGTTATCTGCTGTTGCCAGAACATAAATATGACACATGTGACACAGAGATTTCACAGCTCTGTCTGGATTTCTTATTCATCTATGCATAATATTTTACCAAGTATAATTTTTCAACTCAGTACCAAATGTCTGACAAAGGCAAGTCCAATATTAGGGCTGGGGCGAGTATCCAAGTACTCGGATAATCACAAATCAAAGTGAAAAATCGAGTTTGAATATTCGTAAGCCCAGAGATCGTGGATCGCGATTTAATTTTTTTTTATATACATTCACTGTTTCTCACACTCTTAAAATCGAGAAAAATACTATTTGAGTTTAAATTATATGAAGTTTAACTAAATACAGTTTGCCGGTTAAAGACCATGTACCATGATGCTGAGCTAAGAAGTAAAACAAAACAAAAATACTCCTCTATATGTTTAATGTTTAGTAATATTGTTTTTTTTTTTTTTAAATAAACATGTTTTTATAACTAATGTACATGTTTTATGGGTGTCTTGATAACAAAAGATTTGTGGTTTGATTTGTGAATCGTAAGTGCTGAATCGTGGTTCGGATCGGATCGTCACTTATCCGACGATCCACACCCCTATCCAATATACTATTTATGGCACAAAAATCAGTTTTCGTGACACACCTTGCCTCTCTCTTGGGAAAATGACTAAGTTCTTACCATTGTGAAGTTTTAAGTTTTAGACACAGGTTATTACCTGAAGATTCAATAATTGAATAATCCTAGCATTGACAAAAACAACATCCCAAAACTTAAATTTGTAACTACTCAAGTCAAAGATGTAACAACTCATGTCAAGGAGTCCAGAGTATTTGTTTAAATAAGAATATAACTAGTTAATGCACCACTAAAAGGTAAGGGGTGGGGGAGAGAGAGAGAGAGGGAGCATCCAAACAAGAGGCTATCTGATTTGTACAAGGGGGGCGTAGCTCCAGAGTATGAATCGGATTGCTGAGTGTTTTGATGTTCTATCTCTTTTGTATCATAGTCAAATAAAAAACATGTACTCTGTTGTTCCATCTTTAATTATACTGTAAATCATATTTGTATTGTAGAAAGGTTCTGCAACAAAAGTTCAGGTTTCATAAACTTTTTATTTGACAACAATTTTACAAATTTTTAACTTCTTACAATTTTATTTCATTAATTAACTAAAATACCTGCTTCTTTAACCCATACCACACAAAACAATGAACATGTCTATCTTTTCATCTTGAAAAACACTTGTCATTGTTAGGGAAAGTTTCTGGAAGTGTTGGCATTGAAATTTCTAAATATCACCTTCACGTTTTTTGTTGTTGGGTGTTTTTTTTTCTTCAGTAGGTTAACCAATAAAGCACTATTTTGTTATACATAGACCAGAATCATATACACGTAAAACTCAAATTTTAACTAATTGGACTTAATGTCAAAGGATAAGCTGACTGATTTTGCAAACTTAAGTAGTTTTAAAATTACAAATATCATGTCATTATGTTTTACAAACTTAAGTGGTTTTAAAATTACAAATGTCATTATATTTTGCAAACTTCAGTGGTTTTAAAATTACAAATGTCATTATATTTTGCAAACTTAAGTGGTTTTAAAACTACAAATTTCATTATAATTTGCAAACTTAAGTGGTTTTAAAACTACAAATGTCATTATGTTTTGCAAACTTAAGTGGTTTTAAAACTACAAATGTCATTATGTTTTGCAAACTTGAGTGGTTTTAGAACTACAAATGTCATTATGTTTTGCAAACTTAAGTGGTTTTAAAATTACAAATGTCATTATGTTTTGCAAACTTATGAGGTTTTAAAATTACAAATGTCATTATTTTTGCAAACTTAAGAGGTTTTAAAACTACAAATATCATTATGTTTATCTGTTAAGGGTATTAACCATGAAAATCATGCGCACTCTATGCAAGTTTATTTATACCTTCAGCATAGTTCCATTTTAATGGGAATTATTTATTTTAATATTCCATGCCGGTTATCACTATGATCACTGGGCAAGTCCTTACATAATAAATAAGTCAAATGAAATTTTACAAACCACCTGTTATAAAGGATTATGTTAATGCAATAATATCATGTTTCTGTAACATATGTCTTTTCAGATAATCTGCCCGCACAAAGCGACTGTTGCAAATGTCGCAACCATATGGTTTTTCTCCAGTGTGAAATACCAAATGCCGTGTTAAGTTTCGTTTATATGCGAAATTACGGTTACAGTTTTTATATGCACATTGGTACACAATAGAATCTCCATCTTTCAATACAGTGAAACCTGTATCGTTGGAAAACTTTTGCCCGAGCGTGAAAGAATGCTCGTCCTGACAGGAATGACCTAACATGTCATCATTGTGCCTGCTGTAGGTTTCTGATGCAGTTAGATAATCTGAAAGTAAAAACACTTTAATTAATACTAATTTTTTTTGTTGACATTTTTCGCTGTTGTTTTCTCTTTTCTATGCTGGGGGCCTCTTTTTGAGTGTTGCTAAAACAGAGAAGTAAAATCGCTGGACAGCTGACTCTCTCATTAGTCTGGGCATTTGACAATATTGGCAGCTCCTAAGACGCCTAGACGACGACAAAATAACAGATTAATTTGGGAAGGTACAGAATTTTTTATAGATATACTACCTTTAAACTCACTTAGCCCTCTACACATAGTTGAGGATAGATGAGTGAGTTATATAGGATAAGCAGAAACAAAATATTTTGTTTCAAAGCCCAGTTACAAATTATGCTATACATGTATTCTTTTATTTTTCTGCTATATATATAAGCTGATCTTATTTGGGAAAGGATAAAAAAAAATCAATGGCTGTTTTCTCAGTTATTCTCTCAGGTTCTGGAAATATCTTGCTGCAAAGTAAGACCAGTCAAATCAATAGCTGTCTAGCATTTACTCTCACAAAAATCAGGCAGTCTAGCTTGTATTCCAGGATTTTATCCTCAATGTTATATTGCAACAATTTCCAGGATAATAAATGTAGAACAGATGTTTTAATTTTACGCAATCTTTTTTCCTCCCAAAGCTGTAAAAAAAAGCTGCAAAAGCACTTTTTAAACTCTTAAACATTTCATTCACATTTGATTTTCTTGTAATTCTGCTTTGTATTAAACTGTTCCTTGAAAGTTAGAAATCAAAATATAATGAAGAAAGTAAAAACCTGGTTAAATTAGTATTTTTTGGGATATTTGCATGATTTAAAAGAAATATGCAATTGGGAAAAGGCCTGCTATTATAAGGCTTCTGTATATAATATAAGAAAACCCTGACAAGCTCTGCCTAGCTGGTTGGCACTGCTCTCAACTTTATCCTCATCCTTTTAAACAAACACAGTCATGTACCCATATTCATTGTCCTCCATGAGTCCATGTGGGTTTTCTGGGGTTTTTCCCCAAACTATGGTGCATTCTTGAGTGCTGATACTAAGCTTCACAAGTACCCATCATCATCATGATGTTCTTTTCATGACCAATGTCATTGTTATAAACATTGTTTTTTTTCAACACCAACACCAATGCAAACAACACTGATCAGCAGCTGCAACAGAATTTGATCATCAGAGATATAAGCTTGTTATACTTGTGGCTGTTATTGTTACAGTATTTCAAAAAGAATCTTCAAAACCAGTCTTAAACACAGATTTCCTGACTCGCCAACAACAAGTCTTCGCTACAAACAAGTCCATTTATACCAACAACAAAACAAGGCCAATTCTAAATGAACATTTTTCAATCCAAACTGAAAATGCTTTATATGCTCTATATAATTCAATTTTAAGTCTGAACAATAACACAGAACAACTGGGATTTCCTTCACCTTCATTTACACTAAACCAGAGATCAGTTTGAAAACAGACTTTCAAGCTCGCATTTCCTTTCAACCTTGACAATGATGTTCAAGAATTGCTATACAAATATATATATTAATAGCAAGACACTTGTCAATGTAGTTTACTTATAAAGCAATGTATTTACAACACTATTACATTTTATTACCTATACTCTTAATTCTCAAGACTTTCACTTCAGGAAAATGTTAAGTAGATCACACTGAACAAATAAACTCATCAGAGTCCAATCTCCAATGGCAAGAACAAGATTTCAAAGGAAAAAAACAGCAAGTCAGAAAGCATAGATCTACTTTATTCAAAGTGAAATTTCAAACATACATAATGTTCTACACATTACATGGTGTGCATAAAATTCTGCTACACTTCAAAAGCATTTCACAGGTACAGTATTTCATTCAACGTAACTTCAATGTTCTATACAACATAAGGAGTGCATATAATTCTGATACTCAGCAGAAGCATTTCACAGTTACGATATTTTATTCAACATAACGTCAAGTTTGTTCTATCGACTACAGCAACAAAGTGATAACGCGCTTTTGTAGTGAAAGACATTAGTAGTTTCTCAAACATGTATGCAAAGGTTGAAAATTTCGGAGTTTTGTCGGAAGTATCTTTTTTTACTATTTAACATGCAAAACTTAACTTTGCAAGATATTTATGTATATCCCCTGAATAAATCGATACGAAGATCTATACATAAACGAAATCAGTGAATAACAAACACAGCATTATAGTCAAACACACAAAATAAGAGCAATATACAAGTGTAATTCTTGTAAATATACGTAACATCTTAACAGCCCTTCTTTAAAGCACTTACCTCAATTCTTATATTTTCACTCCATGTAAGTTTTTCAGGAACAGCGCAATGCTACTGTGTTGTCCTTTTTTTCCAGCTAGCACACTGCCGTATTTAATTCCCTTAAAATCACTTTCTAGCTGCTTATGTCACCATTATATTTCAGGTTCAATCTACATGTAAAGCAGGTACATGTACTAACTCCATAATTCGTCACCTTAGTGCAAGAACTCAATATCTGCTTCTTTATCTATATGCAGTTATTGAGTTTTTGCACTAAGGTGACGATATACAAAATGGCAAATGTCATTAATCACCATTAAGTTCTAAATCCCTTATTGTCTAATCAATTTCTAGGTTTATATTCATAATATACAACTCCTTAGTGTCATTTTTTTGTCCAGCAAGCAACAAACAATTGCATGTTAACAAGCTTTTATAAGTAATAACATGAAATAATAATGTATGTTAATGCCCTAATTCTTAACAGCTGACATATTTCATATATAAATCAGCTGGTTACAACAATCTTATTCCCATATATCTAAATTTCTCAATATCCTCATGTCTTATCTATTTATTTTTTCTGACTAGGGGTGTACTGTTTGCTTATCAATGGGACATCATCTACATTTTCATATTTACTTATACACCATTTCTTTTCTGACAATTCTTTTCAAGGTATAATATGGAACATACATAAAATACATTTTCGATAAAGGGTCTATAGACAGACATTTTGGCATCAAAAATTAACTAAATATGACATATATATATTATGTACCAATTCTAAATATAGGTAAAACTATGATTAATAAATAACAGCAACATAAATAATCATAAAATGCTTATTTAATTAACATTATTCATGAGAAGTTGCAGAAATAAAGCATTATAATAAAGTATGCTAAATAAACTAAAGTATAAAAGAAATCAGCAAAAGTTAGTGATCGGACAAAGTGTCACTCTGAAATTGACCTTTGACCTTATAACCTCATCTAAGGGCCAGGGGTGCCTCTAAACCTAAGTTTCAAAAACAAACTTAGGCTTACTCCTTTTCAAGTTTAATATGGAGTTGAGAACGATTATACACAAAATGTCACAATAATAATAATAATCTGGCATTGCAAAATTTATTTAGTCGTTTTTTTGTTGTTTTTTTTTTTGTTATTGTTTTTTTCTTTTCTTTTTTTTGGGGGGCGGGGGGAGGGGTTTCTTCTAATATATCTTCTATTTCTTTAGTTCTGCAAACTTCTAACAAAGTGCCAACAGTATGGTGGATCAATATACTTCCTGACCCTAAATTTTAATTTAATCAATTAAATTTCAAATTTTGCTTCATTTAAAAAAAATCAAAAAATCAACATATATCTAGATTCTATTGAAATTTAACCAATTATGTACATGTTGACTCTCAAATTAGTATTCACCATATCTTCACTGCCAATTTATTTTTTATCCTCATTGTTATTAAAGATGCAACAACAAAACAAGGCCAGAGTAAAATATTGATAGGTTAAACAAGTTATACAGTGATGTGCCCAAATTCATATAAAAACCTATGCTAATTTTGCTTGATCAGTATCTAGACATGGATTACCAGTGTCTTTATACACGTTACCCCTTACACACCGTCATACAAACATGCACCCTAAATTTTAGAAAAGCAAAATAAAATCATAGAATATGTTAATCAAATATGTGTCAGATTCACATATATACTAAAATATGAATATGATAATAACCACTTACCTGTCTAATTTCTTCATCTTTTCTTTAATGTCCACAATATCATAGAAGCTACTATATATAAAGGACATATTCTCGGGAGAAAAAATATTTTTATTAGGAAGATCGAAACCAAGTCTTTGCGGGAATTTTTTTTTTAGCAGCCATAAAGAAAATTCTATGAATAATGTAGGGCTCATTATTAAATCTATTGTATTAATTGAAAAATTTAAGGTACATTTGAGTATCACATTTTGTGATAGCCTATTTGAACTGTGCAATTTATTTTCTACAACAATTCATTATTGGCTTCCTATAACTTCAATATTAAAGCTATTAAGTACGAAAAGACAGCTTCACTGTACGAAATTTATGAAATTAATGGAATTTAATTGTTGTTTTTTAAATTTGTAACTTTAATACATAAGGAGCCACAGGCTTGGCTGACTAATCTATACTGGTAACATAGACATTACAGTGTAATGACAGCTAGTACTAAGAAGGTAAAGGGAATTTTCTGTGATTGCTTGTTTTGAAACGAATACAACAGCAATTTTGTTACCAATTTTCAATATATTAATTATTGATTATTTAAGCAACTGTAACATGTCACTTTGTATATATAGTAATAATAACATATATTGTTTATTTTCTCTCACTCGCACCTCTTTCACACTGCAAACTATTTCTTTTTTAATTGTAAACATTTTTTCAAACAAAGAAGATATGGTGAATGAAGTATAAATCCACTATTGGCACTTTGCTGACCACCCCCAATAACTTTAATAATCAGTGAAATTTATAGATGGTGTATGTCATTCAGACAAACTTGATGAAATCTACACTATCAAAAAATTACTGCAATTTGCATAAAAGCTATCATTTATCAGACATAAACACTTGAAACAAGTATTTTGGTTTATACAGAATTTATTTTAGTGCAATTGTGTTACCACAGTGTAAGAAGCTATAAGCTTATGGACACACTTTCGAATCTGTTCCTGGAACCAACCAGTACTGAGCAATCATGAATTAGTGTAGTTTCTTGCCTTGCCCCTGACGGGGTTTGAACCAATGCGGCCAGCGAGATTACTGTTCGACGCTTTTTTTCCGAGAATATACCCCATTTTCCATTTATAAGTCTATCTCATATTCCAAGAGTCTACCCTGTATTTCAACATAGTCCAAGATTCTACCCCATTTTCCAAGAGGCTAGTCCCGCTACCAAATATTTCAACAGTCTACCCCATAGCAGAAGAGTCTACCCTGTAGTCTAAGAGTTTACCCCATTTTCCAAGGCTTTTGGAGGTAAAAGTTTCTTCCAAAAAAATGAAGTTACACATGAAACTATACCAAATAGTCTTTAACATTCAACACAAAGTTTCTTCACACAGACAAGCTTATTATTACATTCAATCTTTATGAACATGTCTAAGTGACTTCAAGCAAAAAACCAAAGAATAACTATGCAAGACATTCCATGCAGAATTTCATTTAAGTGGTTTGTGTGATCATATACCATCAAAACCTTTCACTGCTCAAAGTTATTGACAGATGGTCCAGATAAATATTTAGAAAATAACACTTACTGTATCCTTGAGCTGACATATCACCTTGGTTTCCAGTAGCACCAGTTGGATCATAGTTCATACCCATGGAAACATTTGGGTCCCAGTTATCCTGGGGCACCATAGGTCTACCGGGCTCTACACCCGTTATTTCTAAGTCCATCTCATTTTCAGTTAAAGCTTCTAATTTAACACTAACATTTGGGTCCATTTCACTAGTTGTCTCTGAACTTTGCTCCTGATTATTTCCTGAGATCAAATTTGACAAGTCTGAGTCTAAACTAAGTCCTTCTGCTGGAGGTTCATTTGGAATGGTGGAGTTTGAAGATTCTGATCTGGCGTCATCGTCTTTCTCGCCAGATTCAGACTTCACACTAGATGGAGCATTTGCAGCATGAGATGGGGATTGACTAGCATTATCACTATTGTCTTGATTTCCAGTTTCATTTTCACTTTGATTAGAAGCTTCATTTGAATCATCAGGTTCTATTTTGATTATCTGTCCGTCAAGTTTATTAGCTGTCGGAGATCTCATTGGCGAATGGCTTGGCATTCCAACAGGGCTTCTGCCTGGATCAAAGTTGAGCGGTGGTCTTTTCAATTTAGGAGGTCTAGTCATTGGATATGGTTGGTGCCTAAGCTGGCCTGGAGAAGCACGTGTTAAAGCCACAGGGTGAATCGGACCTTGACCTCTTGGTGAAGCGAACCGCGGTGATCTCGGACCATACGGGCCACGGGGTCCCCCAAATCGAACTGGACTTGCTTGCAAACTTTGTTGCAAGGCTTCAGCCTCTAAACGTTCTTTCTCCTCTTGTTTTTTACGATGATGCTCTGAAATGATTCAAGTTCGGTAATGAAACATCAGCAAAACAATTAACTTCTGCGTGTACCTGAGAATACATGTTTTTGTTATGAAATTGAAAATTTAATTGAAATCTTTAACTTAAAAATAAACTTTTTTTCGAGTTGGAAACAATATAATATGTATAATGAATAATTTTCCTCACCCTTAAGTTTAACATGAGCAGCACAAGCAGTGTTATTGCTCATCAGTTAAAGGCAACAAATATTGAACAAAAATTCTATGTTATAAGGGGGCATAACTTCAAATATAGCTTTCAAAATAATCATAACTTCATAAATGCCACTTGTCTAACAACTGCATTTATTCTTGATAAGCAAGTATTCAAAGTTTCATGTTGATAAATGTTTGAATAACGGGCTACATTAAAGTCTTTGCATGACAACAACAACAATAATGCCGAGATCACTTTCTTTTTCGAAGCAGACGATTGAAAAATTATATTAATTTGTTACAATTATTTAGATATGTACATTTTTCTTTTCAGTGTATTCCTCTGAAAATTTGTAAATGAAATTCATTCTTCTTTACAATAGAAATGCCATTAGTGACTTTCAAGCTTCAAAAGTAGAGAAAGACATTCAGTGCCCTGCCATGCATTATTTCTGGCTCAACTAACCACCTTCCTTAAGCTAGCAGAATAGCTACCTCAGATGATTGAATCCAATTTCCTAACTTGATTAGAACATATTCGAACACTGTGTTCTTCTTCAAAAGGCAAATAAGCATGGGTGATTTATTTGTTTGTTTGTATGTTTCATTTTACGCCTTTTCCCAACAGCATTTCAGTCATATAGGCGGGTAGTTTCCTAATCATCGTTCCTGGAGAGTTACACCAGTACTAGACTACCTTCCTCTGTGCAGGGAGGCAGAAAATACTGAAAAGCTATGGTTGAAAAGTTCTGCATTGAGATAATGAACCAAAATGTTTCACATCTGTGTGTTCAGCTTAAAGAAAACTATGATTGCCTTCAGTTCATACCTTTTAATATGTGTTCTATAAATTTTATAACGGCCAACTGTGTACTGCAAACAAATTCAAATTTAACACTTACTTTTAAGGCAAAAGCCAAGGAACTGTGACTTAATGTCTTCATGGTCCTCTAGGAAACCTTTGCCAGAGTCGGACCCAAGATGACTTAGAGTTCCATCAGCTACACTTGCTGTAAGAATAACGGACTCCTCATCTGTGCTTGTAGCTAACTGCTCAACCTGAAACAAAAACATTAGCATTTAATTTTTTAATAATGCATTATTATGCTTTACCTAAAACAAGAGCATTTATTCAATCTTTTAATAATACTCGACCTAAAACAAAACAATTATTCAACCTTTTAATAAAGCTCAGCCTAAAACAAAAGATTTATTCAACCTTTTAATAATATTCGACCTGAAAAAAGTATCATTTACTCAATCTTTCCATGTTATGAACTTCTTTTTTAGGTGTACAAATTGGAACTTTTCACTTTATAATGATTATGAAACAAGTATTTTCATATTCTCTTTCTTAAACAGTTTACTGAATGCTAGACTTTTTCTGAGTTTATTTATTAGTTTTTTTTAACTCTCTCAATGCTTTTGCTTTTTGTGAAAATGAATTGCTTATCAGCCATCAGGCACATGCATTAAGCCAAGTCAGTCTGCACATCTGTGCACACTGGAACACACTATAAACTGTGCTCGATATAAGTATTTTTAGGGTACTTTACTACTATCTGGTTGACTCTTCCAAATTTACAGACAGACAATTTTATTACACAATTTCAGTCAAGAAAATGAAGTGTTAAAATCATAAATAGATGGATTAATTATACAACTTAAACTTAAACTATATAGAAAATCTAGCATAAATTATTTTTTACTTACAAGCTGTTGAATCTGACTTTTTAGCACTGCTTTCAAGATGACTTTATACCCTGGAATTTCCTTTATTACATCGTAGTCTGGAGCTGCCATTCTTGTTGTGATATTTTTCTCTTTTTTCTTTTTAAACTTTTGTCTTTTTCCAATGTGCCGAAGATATTTTTTTTGTTTAATGCATTGAATAAACTATCTTCTTTCATAAATTTTCTAATCTAAGTCTTGATAATTAAACAATAGATTGTTACATGGAAACTTTTTTACGAGTTATTTCAATTTTTCCCTGAATTACTTCCTGTTATAACAAATTTTGTTGGTTATTTTGTCTGTTACTTTCCTCTGAATTGTCCCCCTTTATACTGATTTGGTTTTTCTAAAGTTGTATGTGTGCCTGAAAAAAATATATAAGAACATGTAATACAAATGTAACTATCAATCTGAATAGTCACAATACAAAACAAGAGGGCCAAGATGGCCCTAGTTTGCTCACCTGACCCATCAATCTCAGCAGTTACTTAGACAAGCAAGGTTTTTGACCCCAGGTGACTCATATTCAAAATTGACCTAGAAATCTTCAAAACAAACTTTCAGACCAATTTCCAGGATATTTGAATTTAAACAGTAGCCACTAGAGTGTTTTCTATTTTAAGCTCCTGTGACCTAGTTTTTCATCTGAGATGACCCATTTTCAAACTCATCTGAGCAATTACCCAGACAAATATCCTGACAAAGTTTGATGATGATTGCGGCAAAAATGTGACCAATAAAGTGTTAGCAAAAAAATGAGGGCGGAGGATGGACCATGGACATTCAAAGATCCTAAAAAACATAATAAAATTTTTTTTTAAAAATAATTAAAAAAAAAGATCCTTAAAGCTCACCTTGAGCTAGCTCAGGTGAGCTAAAATATCATCAAATGTTTTGTTTGTTTGATTGGGCTTTATATCACACTGACATAATATAGGTCATATGGTGATGTTTCAACTTACTGGTGGAGGAAGACCTCAAATGCTCTTCTGTGCATTATTTCAGGCACAAATGGGCACCAAGTAGAACGGCTGAACCACTGACGTTCTGTAAGCTAGCTGGATAGCTTTCTCACATAAAATAAAAGTCCTTGAGGGAATTTAAACCCAATATGGTGAGGGGCAAGTGGTTTGAAGTCAACAACCTTAACAGGGTTTTCATTATTGATTGGCAATCAATATCATCAATTGAAATGCTGTTTAAATCAGTTGTATTTTAAGCTTGTAGACTGAAATGTCCTCCTTGACCCTTGACAGCTTTTTACACAGGTTAGGAAAGAAGCCTTGCCCTTAATTCTAGGGAACAAGAGCTGTTGGTAGGACAGCAACGCTCGACGATTCTTAGTGCTTGAGGTCGCTCACCTGTATATAGGCCCCCCCTCCCCGGGCCAATTTTTACCCAAGGGCTTTTATTTGTTTATTTGAAGACTTGGTAGACACCCATAAGAAGATGCTTCATGCTAAACATCTAAGTTCTAGCTCATTGGGTTTTTTTAAAAGAAGATTTTTTAAGGTTTTTACTATACACATATAGTTAAAAACAATGACACCCCTGGGGCAGGGCCAGTTTTGACCCCCGGGCTTTTATTTGAACAAACTTTGTAGATATTTACTTAAAGACGTTTCATGCTTAATATCTAAACTCTAGCTATTTGGGTTTTTTCAAAGAAGATTTTTAAGTTTTTGCTATACACATATAAGGAAAATCAATGACCCCCCCGGGCGGGGCCAGTTTTGACCCCAGGGCTTTTATTTGAACATACTTGGTAGACACCCATTAGAACATGTTTCATGCTAAATATCTTAGCTCTAGCTCTTTGTGTTCTTTAAAAGAAGATTTTTTAAGTTTTTACTATATGCATATAGGGAAAATCAATGACCCCCTGGGGCGGGCCAATTTTGACCCAGGGCTTTTATTTGAACAAACTTGGTAGACACTCACTAGAAGATGTTTCATGTTAAATATCTTAGCTCTAGCTCTTTGGGTTCTTTAAAAGAAGATTTTTTAAGTTTTTACTATATGCATATAGGGAAAATCAATGACCCCCCTGGGGCGGGGCCCAATTTTGACCCCAGGCTTTTATTTGAACAAACTTGGTAGACACTCACTAGAAGATGTTTTCATGCCAAAATATCTAAGCTCTAGCTCTTAGGGTTGTTTAAAAGAAGATATTTAAAGATTTTTCTTTCGGTTGCCATGGCAACCAGAGTTCTGCATGGAATTAAATTCTTTGAACAATTTTTAAAGGTGACCACCAAAGGAACATTCCTGTGAAGTTTGGATGAAATTGGCTCAATGGTTTATGAGGAGATGTCATTTAAAGCAAAAGTTTACGGACGGACGGACGCCGGACAAAAAGCGATCACAAAAGCTCACCCTGTCACTTTGTGACAGATGAGCTAAAAAGCCTTGATAATGTAAAATTTTCTAAGTAAAGAAAAGGGTAAAATTTTTCTTTAAATCCATATTACAGAATAATGATATAGGACTTGGAGAGAGTCCTATTATGCTCTCAAAGAAGAGTATAAAATTTCAACTTGTTTCAAAGCAATATGTCAATCGACTTTGAAAATATTTGAGGTATAACAAAAACTTTAACGTAAATTTTAAGTCGAAAAAGGGGCATAATTCTGTCAAAATGCTTGATACAGTTACCTCCCCCTGTCTATAGTTTAGGGTTATGATGGTGAACAAGTGTGCAAAGTTTCAAAGCCATATGTCAATGGACTTTGAAAATATTTGAGGTATTACAAAAACTTTAACGTAAATTCTAAGTTGAAAAAGGGGCATAATTATGTCAAACTGCTTGATACAGTTACCTCCCTCTGTCTACAGGTTGGGGTCATGATGGTGAACAAGTGTGCAAAGTTTCAAAGTCATATCTCAATGGACATTGAAAATATTTAAGGTATTACAGAAACTTAAACGTAAATTCTAAGTCGAAAAAGAGGCATAATTCTGTCAAACTGCTTGATACAGTTACCTCCCCCTGTCTACAGGTGAGGGTCATGATGATGAACAAGTGTGCAAAGTTTCAAAGCCATATGGCAATGGACTTTGAAAATATTTGAGGTATTACAAAAACTTTAACATAAGTGGTTACACCGACGCGGACACCAACGCCGACGCTCTGGGGTGACTACAATAGCTCTACTTATTCTTATCAAATAGTCCAGCTAAAAATTACACAGTATATTGCAAAAGGGGAAGAAAAAACAATTCAAATTTTGGGAAAAACTGCATGATTTTAAAGAAAAAAGAAAACAAAAAGTGAAATATAAGCCCCCTTAAAAATATGCTTTAAGTTTAGAGAAGGCCGGAAACTAGAGCTGTCATTGATTCAGTGCAAAGCATATCAACAATATATCGATATCAAGTGACTAAAATCAACGATACACCGATATATCGATAATATCCTTCACTCACTTGTGTCAGTCATTATTGTACAAATTTATTACCCCCTGAATTTTTTTTACCCCAGTTTTCAAAGGTAAGGGGTAAAATACTCCCCATGAAAAATAGAAGTGGGAACACTGACTAGTGTGCTAGGTCTGACAGTTGGGCGCCATTTTAGTGTAATAAATAATCAAGAAAAATTAGGCAATTCCTGGCTGGCTACGATCTAGACATGAAAGTGTAGGACGATTGTTTGTATTGTCAATCCCTTTATAATCAATTGTGACAGTTCTATAATAATTTTTTCGTTTACAAAATTAAAGGGGACAACGTCTGCTGCCTTAAATAAATATTTTCGTTTTAATTTATTTTCATCGGTTGAACGCCTCGGTGTAAACTTAATGCAGACGATTTAGCATTGGCAGTTTATGTTGGCACCCCCTTTTTTGAAAATACTAGGAGGGGAAATCACACCTATTTTTGAATTCCTAGAATAGACACCGAGGTTGTTTTGAAAATTGAGAAAAAAATCCCTGCCAATCAGAAGACTCCTTACATAATACCGAACAGCTGATATACAGTGGCGTAGAAAGGAATCGAAAGACCCTTTAAGAGGTTTGAAATTTGAATTTCGCGTGTATCAGATGCTACTGACAGTGAATGGTGGACTAAACTCTTCATTGCTGATACAGATAGTGTTGTAGTCCAATAAATATGACGTCGCTTCGAGATATTTTTGCTTCTGGGCAAAGCAACGTCAAATCGAAATTGCTCAAAAACCCATAGCATGGTCTGCCAGAAAATCGGGCAGAACAAAAAACAATTAAGACAGCGTGTATTTACATTAGTTTATAAACAAAACTAAAAAATAAATACCTTTTGTCAAAATAATTAAACTGTCACAACCGAAAAATCATGATTAAATCCTCTCATGTACTTAAATTCCTTTTACAGCCTTTAAACAAGGCCATCCTTAAAAAAATGTTTGTTTGCAGTAACCCGACCCAGAATTTTCAAGATGGGTAGGTAGGTCGATTTTTTTTTTATTGATTCAGAACTGTATTCCCAAATAAGGCCAACATTTTTTTATTAAATGTTTTACCGGACATTTTTAAAAAAAATTGGGTCGGGGGGGATAAATAAAAATAAAAATAAAATTCAATTTTTTTATCAGTCGACCACAAAATAAAAATAAAATGAAAAAAGAGGTTAAAAATTTTTATTTTCAAACATTTTGTTAAGACTCCAAAAACAGATTTTTTGTTCATAAAATCAATGATTTTATAGTTTTGAAGTATTTTTGACATAATTTTAAACAAAATAATTGAAAAAAATGCTTTAAATCACTTTTGCTTTTGTTTTTAGTAGCTATTTAATGCTGATCTAGTTTCTATTAGTTTTGTCTTTTCATATTTAGGGCAAACATGCCACACAACTCCAAATTCATTGTTTAGTCCCTTCATTTAAAGAGTATCCAAACAAGGTCGTATTGCCACTCTCAAGCTTTACTGACACAAGCTTGCAACCAGGTAGAACCGCCAACCTATTATAAGCTTACTGATAGTTTCCTCACGGGAATCCAAATTAACTTCCTGATAGGATTCTAATCCACAACACCACACAGGGAAAGTGATCCATTCACAGAGGTACAAACATAATAATGTACAATGTCAGTTTCACAAAGTAAATTGAATCAACAACTTCAAATTATCTTTAAGAGAGTAAGTTGACAGTAAGCAATTGACAGTAAATAGAAAATCAAATGGCATACATTGTTACAAAATCAGAGTTTTCTGCTGAGAATTTATTATAGGCAGTTTTTACAGAAATTTCAAAGAGGACTTATGCTCATAATCTTACATTGAAAAAAGACCAATTTTCTCAATATTGATCTAATAAAAAAACTTCTATAAATACACATTACTACCTGTCATGATATAGTATTAACTTAATAAATGTTATAGATGACTGTGTTCAATTGTAAAGAAACCTTGTATTTCAAAAAGACAACAACAAAAATATGTCCACCAAACAACTTTCATGAATTTATTTTCGTATAATAAATTAATCAATTGTTTTCAAAGATTCATAATAAAAAGTTTTCACTATCAATTTGCTTACAATAAATCTACAATGTAAGTAGAACTCATTTGTTACTCGTTTTTCTCAATCTGTCTAAGTACATTTAACTTATATTTCTTTATAAAACCTATTTTATTGTGTGGAAGTAATCTCATGGTCCGTGGTAAATCGAGTTATATTTCATTTTGACACCAAAGTCGATCAACGGCTTTGATCCCGTGCCCATTTAATTTTTTTACAACTGTTCTGACAGTGAAGGTAATTCAAATCAACTTATGCAATGGATGTTAATTACCAGTCGTGCTTTCTAACAGCTTTACAGGCTATCATGTTTGATTAAATGCTCTAATATTTATTACTCAAATTGCCATAGTTGTACTTCCGTGACCCGGTGTCGCGTGATATTCACACGTGTAAATTTATTACAAGCTTGTAAAGTTATTGCCCTTCCCTTTTGTTACGCCTTTTGTAACATTCTTGTAAACATCAAAGGGCCTAACTTTTGTCAGTTGTTTTAAGCAAGTTCCGAGGTTCTACCGTTAAGTATCGTTAACAACTAAAGTGAAAAATGTGTTCCATACCAAGTAACTTTTATTTTGACAGAAGTGGGTAAGATAGGTCGGCGGGCATAATGAAAATAAAAGTTCTTAAATTAACTTTTATTTTTATTTGATTTTCTCTTAAAATACGGTCGGCGGTCCCGTAAAACATTTTATAAAAAAATGTTGGCCTAAACATGGAATTTCAAAATGCTGCACAATATATGCTTTTACAGGGTTTCTACTAGGAATTTTTATTTAAGAGTCCCAGGGACTCGTGCTCATAAAATATGAGGGTCCCAGAGAAAAATATGAGGGTCCTAATCATTTATTACCTAAAGTAAGGTATTACTTATATATATTGTCAAGGTTTAATTCTTTAATTTATATGCATTGACATTGTTCAACTACATATGCATTTTTATTGACTTTGCTAAATAAAAAAAATATAAACCATTTATTATTTATTGTTACTTTTTCATTTCTTTCATTTGGCTGAATGTTTTGCAACTTGCATAAAGTCAAGATGTTTAACATCTGGTCCGACTAATTTTATCAATTGTTTAACTGCATAATTATACGTCTTGATGACGGACAAATGTATCTACTATTTTGGAAGTTCAAACATCCATTTTCCGAGGCAAGTGGATTACATTTTTTGGTTGAGACGCAATGGCTGCATTTCATATCCGTGGTCGTCTCGTTTTGGACGAGCCACGGGTAAGTTAACTTAGCCACTTTTCATTAAAATTGGGGGAGCAGCCGATTTATTTTATAACAAAAAACACATAGACTGGGACGCTTTTTTAAGGACGACTAAATTCTAGTGTGCGCCGTTTTATTCCGTATTAAACTGTAATTAATTGAAAGAAAGATAACTCTGCTGTATTCAATATTAGAACCCGTCTACCAAATTACGTCATTTCCTTTAAAGAAGCGGAAGGAATTTCCAAATGATATTTACGGAGGAAAATTTAATTTGCGTCCCCATGGCCGCACACTTAGAGTAATTGAGGGTCCTAGGTTACTATTTTTGCGTCAAGGACGCAGGAAATGTGCGTCAATAGAAACCCTGTTTTATAATCTGGTAACAATTAATTAATTGATAACTGAATTCTAATTTAATAAGACCTACATTTTATTTCTTCTATTAACCTTTAAAAGAACGAAAACAAAGCACAAGGCATAATTTTCTGATTCAAAAAAAAAAAAAATTTCTCCAGACCATGAAAAATAATTTTGAGTAGGGGCAAATTTTGTGAGTCGGTAGCGTTACTGCAAACAAACATTTTTTTAAGGATGGCCGAAATGGCCGCCATACAGTGCATGAAATCTGATTGGCTAATTCAAATGCAAGTGTTTAACTTAGTCAGAACGTTCTAACAAAATATTTTTTTAACAAAATAATTGCCCATGCACCGTCAGTGTGTTCGAATATATTTTTCCGTTCAAAAATTTGGAATCAATCTGTAAAGCACCTTGCTTAACCAGTATGACTGATAGACAAAAATAGATTGATGTTTATATTTTATTTTAAATTGATAAGTACAATGCTTGAGAGCTTTAGTGTATGATTGAGCATGAAATTGAAAGAAAAGAAGAAAAGCTATTGAATAAAGCTTGAAAGGCAAGACAATAGACATTTTTTGATTTTTTTATGATGCTATGCGTTTTTGAGCAATAACTATTAGATGTCAGGCTTGACCAATGAACTATAACAAGCCTGTAAAGTCTAATGTATTGGACTAATAGTGTTAGTGTTCATCTGATGCTTTCATAAATACATGTAGTACCCCATTAAATATCTCCCTCCAAGAAATAATTAAAAAAAATATTGAAAATTCAAAAAATTAATTGAATTTTAAATCTGGTACTCTAGATCTAGTGAAAAACTAATTGCTGAAAAAAAATCATTAAGTTTAAAACTAACTTTTGAAAAGTTAACTGGAGCTCTGTAAATAAATTAATATCAATATAAATCTATTTATAATAATATGCGGAGACAGTTTTCCCCCAAAATAACAGAACTCTTAAGGGGAGAATAATCTGACTACCTTGGGTCGAAACGTCTAGGAGGTGAAACGTCCTGTCACCACAAAATTTTATTTTTAACACCTTTTCTGCTTGTCTTAACAGACTGACTATACACATTCAGAAAAATATTTCGGACAATGAGAGTTGGACAATCGGAAAAAATATTCAATTCCGAAAGTAAATTTCTCAAAATCCCCCCTGATTTTCAGGGCAAGTGCCCGGTCAATTTCCGTTATTAAATTTCGAGCATGTACGGCTCCACGCCGTCACGCCTGGTAAAGTTATCCAAATATTTTCATTCTTTTATAGTTAAGTACATGATTGGCAATCATATTCAATCAGTTGCTTACCAAAAATTGAAGAAATGGGGTTAAAATCAATTCCTAATTATGCGAGGACAACGCCATCTTCGTTTGTTGTTGTTGTAATGATGATGCGGGCGGGCGGCGTGCGCGCGCGCTCTTTTTTCAAGGGGCACTTTAAAGGGAAAATAGGTAGCAGGCAACTAAATGTTTCGAAGTCTCTCGCCTACAGGTACACTATAGAAGTTGTTTTAAGCAACACAAATAGAATACACTGACACTTGTGGTGTGGAGCACCAAACGGTTTAAAATCCATTTTTTAGTAATAGAAAGAGCATCGAAACACGAGGCTATCTGATTTGTACGAGGGGGCATAGCCCCCCCCCCCCCCGAGTATTAAATCAGATTGCCGAGTGTTTTGATATTCTTTCTCTTTTGTATCATAGTCACCCTTTTGTCACAATATGAAACCCCACAAAAAAAGAAACCACCCAACGAGCATTTGAATATGATATTTCTGTCGCTTTCTCTTTCTCGGCCGTTACAATAAGTAAACCCCAGCAAAAATGAGCCAATCAATGGGCATGCTCTGGAGTGCGGGTAACTAATACCTGCACTCCAGTTAACGCACTTTGCATGTATATGTTTACGATTTAACTCTGACAATTTTCAACAGAAAAGTCAATAATACTATACCGTACACGTTGAAATATGATTTTTTTTCAAAACGGCGTATATTAAGTTTTATTGATAAGCTATAAATGTAAATAAAAGTGCTGTACATGATGGACAAATATTAATTTATTTGGATTATTAAGGCATTTGGAGCTCCACATTCCAAGTGTCTGTGATTGAATAGTGACATAGATTACAGATATATAAATCATGTTATTAAACGGGCCACATTTGCATTAAGTACTACATTTTGTTTAGAGTAGGTCTACTCTGGGACGGAAGATAAATTTATGTCCCAGGTCTACTGCGACAACATGAACAAGATACGGTTCAAAAACTTTTTTTTGCTGGGTTGCTTCAGTTTAAAATAACCAATCACATTATTGCGGTCGTACTCCGCGAAAAACTTAAATCCGCTTGTTAAATGGCGGCTCGACATGTGATCCTGTTAAGATTGCCTTTCAGGAAGCCGTCTGATTAGCTCATAGGTAGAGTCTTGGATTGTGAATTTTGCGACCCTGGTTCGAATCCCGAACGGCGTAGGTGACTCTCAATGTGAGTGATCAGGAATTTCTATCTACGATCATTCGCACTGTACCTCTGCTGCAGTCTCTACAGATGATATCAGCTGTTCCGTGTGAAAGTGGACGCTCTAGTACAGGTTATCTGCTCGCCAGCCTGCCAAGGAACGATAAATTGTGAAAAGCAAATTCTGGAAATAGAGTGTCTGTATGATGAAAAAAGTATTCATCAATTTCCATATAATCCATGGCTGCACTAACAATAGCGCAAATACACACGGACACTTGATAATTTTTCGGACCAAGTCCGTCTGTTATCAGTTTGACGTCCTGTAAAATTAACAGAGAAGGACTGAATATAAGAAGAATTGTCATTGGTCATTTGAAAATTACAAACTGAAATCGGTGATTCTCATTGGTCGTTCTAAAGAAAGGACAGTTCTAACCATTCTAAAGTAAAATGTAAAGGAAAGTTCTGACCATTTTAAAATAAGATTTTAAGGATAGCTCTATCTTAAAATGCAAGGGATATTTGTGTCACTATAAAATAAAATGAGGAGGATAGTTCTAAAGTAAAATGTACAGGAATGAGGATAGTTTTTTTTTAATTTTTAGTTAATTTGTAAATGATTTCAAAATTTATAAAGTCAAACGTAAAAACAAAACAAAAACAAAACGGAAGCTGAAATAGAAGTTATTCTTCTTTGAAAAAAATGCTATAATTTAATTCAATTTTTTACAAAAAGGGTATTTTCTTAATAGCTACAATAATAGAAATAATTATCATGTCATTGTTATGCAAGCATTGCTAACATTTCTTTTTGTATTAAAAAAAAACTTAGATATAAAATAATACTTCTCGTTCTTGTAGCATGTGCGAAAGTGCTCATTACGTGACATCGTATGCAACCATTGAGTGAACTTAACCATGTAATTAATGACCTAACAAATTTAATTGAACGAAAGAGTTGTAAAATAAATTAGAATCCTTTGTAGAATAGGATTGATTGATTAAGATGACTGACCTTCGTGATGTTAGTGTATTAATGTGGTACATATTTACACATATGACCAGGAAATGTTTTAACTTTGTCACAAATTGAATGTTGCACTTATTTATTTTTTGGTTACAGCAGAAACTTGTTTTTAAAATATATGTTTATACAGATAAATTTGAACATTAACAATACAGATTGAAAGAACGCCCATGCATTGTATGATTAAGGCCACATGTGTCACAAATCACATTCGTCACAATTGTGAAGAATGAGATCACATTCGTCACAAATTTTGTGATGCATGTGATCCAATGTTTTAGACAATCACATTCGTCACGAGTTTAAAATCACAAATGTCACAAATTTGAGATAAATATTGTTTTCTTCAATGCTTTTCACTGAGTCACAAACGTCACAAATTTTTAGGACTGAAATCAATTATTGGAACTAAAACTACAGACATTTTTATCCCCTCCCCCGCTGATGAAATCGGGAGTGATGGGACTGTTTTAGCGTGTTCGTCCGCCTGTCAGTCCAGATTTAGTTTCCGCACTATCCGGCCATTGATTAGTTATTATACACTGTATATGGAATCATTTCGTTTCCACGCTATTTTTCAGCAACTTCTGGATGGATATCGATGCTGCAACTTTGTAGGAACCTTCATTCACAAACCAGTTGCACATATAACCAGCATATCTCCATTTCTTTTTAAAAACAGACTTATTGCCCCTTGTTGTTGTTGTTATTTATAAAACACTGTATATAGAACTATTGCTTTTCTGCGCTCTAGGAATTTCAACGAAATTTAGTTTAATATAAAGAGGAGATGCGCATCTCGAAAAATCTCGACGGGACACTAAAGGATTTGGTCCGACTTGAGGGTACGGTCGCTTATATGGGCTTTCCGGCGGCGACTTTAGATAAACACATAAACAAACAAACAAGATGTGCATATCATCATCATCATCATCATCATCATCAGTATTTCCCGTTTGGCCGTTTAATACAGAGTTATGATCCATAATTTATTATCATTTATTGTTCATAGAAAAGCATTAATTCAACCCTATTCTTCAACAAATCTGCTGAATAATTTAAACAAAACTATGTGGGTACATCTAATACCAAGCGGAGATGTGTATATTGACGGCACTTACCCGAAGTTAAGACCCCTGGTTGCTTAATATTCAGTCAGATAACTTAAGTATTTCATGTCTTCAAATGTTAAATATATCTAATTTTAATTGTGTGGGAACCTTCAATACAAAAAGGGCATGTGCATTATCGCCGTGACCTTGAGTGATATGGGCCCTGATAATTTATGCTTTAACCGACTATTTCCCCGGAGTCTTTATTCGAAATGTATCCTGCAATTGTTTAATTTTCAATCAGTATATGATGCTGTCGGCGGTAAACATTAATTCAGCGAATTTGCTTGCAAGATATTTGAATGACCTCGTGTAATTATAGCTTCGCAAGACCAATCATATTCTACAAGAAATGTTAAGTTTTCTTTAAGTTTATTTATTCAACTTCCTTCATGATTCTCATTTAACCCTTTCCTTTATAGATATTACTGGTAAAATAACTATATGAACCGCGCCATATTGAACCCTAGATGAGCCGTCAGTACTAAAGAACTCTGATATAATATAGGAATAACGCATGTTTCTTTTTTCGTGTTAAAATATCTGTAGAAATCCAAGGGATTAGTTGGTACCCGACCCAACGTATCCCGAGGGTTTCAGCAGTTGTTATGACACGGAACAATCATTCGTTAACGCTATTCTAGCATAAAGCATGCATAAATCTAACACAATCCATACACAATCAAGCAACATCACTGATTTTCCTCGGATTGCACGGGAACGTCAGCGTTGTATGTGACCGTGACGTCATTTCCGTTTTAGTTAAGCAGCGTCCGGGCCACAATGTATTGACGCTGTGCCACGGAAAACGTATATCAAAAAGGTGTTTTAACAGCGCATGAGCGCTAGAATCTCCTTGTTAAAAGACCTTTTTGGTCCTGTTAAAACACCCCGAAATCATGGTTATAACGGCAGTTTTATGCTAGAATATAAAGTAATGAATAACAACATGGATTCCAAGAAGACTAAAAGCAAACTCACATTGCACAATACTAGCCGCAATTATAATACTGCTAATAAAGTTCACGAATTTTCATTGGTTTAGAGGCGGGATATATTTATAGGTTATTACAGAGGTCTGATGTGCCTTTATTCGATTTTGGCCCACTAAAAGAGCCCGAGGGCTAATACCGATCTTGTAGACCCATATCGCATTAAGGCACACCAGACCTGTTCTATAACCTTTTTATTGCATGTGCTCATTTATGTTTTGGTTTTCATTATAGAATTAAAAAAATCGTTTGAAAACATTGTTCAGCGACAATGTATAATTTATTTTAAAAAGCGAGGGACTTTTGACGTCGTCTAATGACGTTGACGTCATTTCCTCACAAACATTTGTTTTTAATATATTTTGGCGTTATTTAACTGTTTGGAGATTGTTTTTCAAGTGTTTCTTCAATTTTGCTTTTTTATCAAGATATATTTCAGTTAAACGTATTTTTTCTTATAAAATTGTCAATCTTTCCGCGTTTTTTTAGCAACCCGAAGTGGGAAATCGATATCGGCCCAACCGGAAGTCGGACCGATATCGATATTTGGCGCATCACGTCACCTGACCACAGTCATATTACATGGACAAAACTCATATACGTTTAAATTCACATTTTTTTTCTATTTATAGTGTTTGCCGTTGCGTATTTATAGGTTATTACACAGGTCTAGTGTGTCTGAATGCAATATTGGCCAAGAAGAGGTATTGGCCCGAGGGCTTTAGCGGTCTCGTAGGCCAATATAGAGGATATTACATGAGTGTCTTTTCATATTGAATTTATTAAACGAGTTGGATAAAATAATAAATTGCGAGGCTCTGCCGAGCATTTTATTATTTTATTCATATCACAGGTTAAATTTTGGAGCCGATAAACCGAAAAATTGTTGTTATTTTGCCTTATAAACGCGGTAAAATCAAGCGACGTCCGCTAACGTTAAATGACGTCGACGTCAAAACGATATTATACTAGTTTATTGCATTTGTTACTATAAATAGTAACAAAAATGCTAAGGAAGTGTGCTGATATTGCCCAAAGAGTGCCGATATAAGCATGCATTGAGCAAGTGTGCCAGATATCGGCACACTTGCTAGTGTGCCAAAAATCCATATCATGACGTCACGTCCGGTTGACGTAAACAAGTTTTGACGTTGGAGCGCTCAAGATATAACTTATAGTTAACTTATCAGCATAACACGCAACAGGATAGATAAAGATTAAATTTCTGCACATTTTTATATGATTTTATAGAAATTTAATGAGCAGATATTTAAAATACAAATGTTTGTGGCGAACGGAAAATGTGAAGAAAATAGACACGATTTGTTAGAAAACAGTATGGAGATAAAACATTAAACTTTGTTTAGAAGAATAACATAATTGAGTGTCTACATATGCAATAAAAAGGTTATGATACAGGTTATGATACAGACCGCAAAAAGAAATATAAATAAATAAGGATTATTTTGCTTGCAGCGTTAACGTTTGCCGTCATATTGTTTACGCGCGCGTAGTCTCCGCGCTTCAGTAGTAAACGGTCTAAAAGCACTTTTCAAAAGGCACATAAAATAAAAAGAAAATGTGTTTGCTTTTCGTGAATATGAACTATATCTCACATCGAAGTGAGAAAATGTTCATATTTTCACTCGCGCTACGCGCTCGTGATACATATTTCATTTTTTTTCTCACTTCTCAGTGAAATATATTTCATATTCACTCAAAACAAACAAATATCCTCTATAAAATTCACTAAACACCGTCGTTTGAAACTATCTAATCATAAAAGGCGAAAAAAGCTAAGACGCTTTGAAACGATAAAGCGGCCCCGCCACAAAGACACGATCTGTTTAAACGAATTAACTATATTATTATTACTAGTGGAATAGATATGGAAAGTTCCATAGAGCGTCTGCAAGCAATTGGCACAGACTTGCAAAATCGTCTCAGGAAAGAAGGTTCCTAGATGTCAAAATGTCATACTCTTTAATTGAACCAAGATTCCTGAAAGTCTGCGGAAGTCAAAAGTCTGTCAGACCAAAAAAGGTTCATTGATGTCAAAAGGTCCTAATCTCTAATTAGATATCCTGAAAGTCAACGGGGGTCTCAGCTACTTCCCAAACAATCATATATGGTCTCATTGGTGTAAATATGGTCATAATTTGTACTGAAACTAAGATTAAGTCTGTGAGATTCCTTTAGACTGTCGCTGTATGGTGGGAAGAAATTTGAGGGTTCACAGAGGTAAAAGATCACTTCCAGTTGAAGTCTGATACTATGCCGTGCATTGTCACCAAAATTTTTTGAAGGTTTCGAGAACGTAAGACGACTTGATAGCAATACCATTACGACAATGCGACAGTTCTATGAAGACAATACAATGCCGACGATACGATATTGCAACAAGTTAGTACGATGGCGATAATGCAATGGTGGTGAAAAGATATTGGTATCGTGATGTCGACATCACAATATCGATTTATTGCATTGTCGCCCTTGTACTATCGCACTGATATAACCACGATTGTCCTTATGATATTCCGTGTATCACATATTGAAAAATAAACTTGTGACATTTGTGATTCGCCTGTTTAAAAATTCTCAATTTTGCTTATGACGTTTGTGATTGGCATTTTTACCCGATTTTGGTCAATCACATTCGTCACAAAAGTCATTTGTGACGAATGTGATCACATTCGTCACAAATTCATAAAAACTTGTGACGAATGTGATTTGTGACACATGTGGCCTAACAGTATGATAAATAATCAAGACAGTAACATAATGCGTGTCGACCTTATGAGCAATGATCTTGTAGGTTAGTGAACATTAACTGACATCTGCTTCAATAGCTTAAAGCTGAAGTTTTTTGATATGACGGGACAGGAAATAATTTTTCGAAATTGATGTTCCATTTGATGTAGGTCTAGACAAATAACTTGTGTGAAAAACTTCATACTTTATTTCATGTATTTCAGTATTTTACTGTAATAAATCATATGCTAATATTCTGATAAACCACTACTAAATTTATAAAATATAATGTTCAATGTAGCCGGCCATATCTGAATGCGGATGAAACGAATTTCATAACTAAATGGAATAACAGGCAAAAATTAATGCCGTTAAAAAATTACGTACATTTGATCCCTTAGGAAAAGAAAGTTGATGTCATCATACATCATAATAAAAGTCTAACTAAATTAGAGAATTTTAACAGAACTATACATGTATTTCAAAATTGATTATGTGACGTTATGATGTGATGGCGTCATAAAGTGGATGCGCGACGTTACGCGGCAAAATCAGTAAAAAAAACCGTAAAATCCTTTAAAAGCATGAAATAAAAAGAAATTTATTTGTTTTACATATAAGATTGAAATATATTTCATTCGTGAACACTAGCTCTTTGCTTCGCCACTCGTGAAAATATTGCATCCGGTGTTCACTCAGTTAAATATATTCCAATCTTACATGCAAAAACAAACAAATATCCTCTACTTATTAATTAAAAATGACCCCTTCCTTTTCTTGAGTTTTGTTGTGTATCATAACTACTACATCATGCATAAGTTTCCCTTAACAAGGTATTGCCTGTTACTTACGTATGTTTTAAAAAAGAAGACGTTTCTGTCCTCTGGTAATTAAAAAAAAATGAGCCGCGTCACGACAAAACCAACATAGTGCGTTTGCGACCAGCATGGATCCAGACCAGCCTGCGCATCCGCGCAGTCTGATCAGGAGCCATGCTGGTCGCTTACCAACTCTATTACAAGTAGAGAAACTGATAGCGAACAGCATGGATCCTGATCAGACTGCGCGGAGGCGCAGGCTGGTCAGGATCCATGCTGGTCGCAAACGCATTATGTTGGTTTTGTCATGACGCGGCTCAAACGTATTTGATTGACACTTTCCGAACACTTGCTATCTTAATATAGCTTAATTTTAATGCTCGTAAAGATGCATTGATAAGACTGACAGCCGACTCAATTAAAAAAAGTTTGAAAAAAATATTTAAAGTCTTCGTAGCCTTATTTTCATATAATACCACTATAATTGCAATATTACACTTTGTTTTTAGCTTCTTCATTTTTCTTTCACAGGATATAGACTTGAAAACAAATTTAACAAAATGACATTTAAATAAACTTCACTAATAATGTGCTAAGCACCAATTAAATAATTATAATCATGTAAATTATGCATATGCAATGTAATAAATATGTCAGTGTAAATTTTAAAAAAATGGAAACGTGTGGTCGACTTGAATTAGGCATACTACAGTTATTGCACTTGCTAAGTTATTCCTTAATTACTAGATTTGACACGCGTGGTTATTTTTAAACGGTAGTTAAATTCAAACGAGTTATCCATCCCCTTTTGAATAATAATAATAATTAAAATATCAAAGCTTATTAGAATTTAATATACAAGTAAAGAATGGTGAGCGTCATTAACAAAACATATTGCGAGGGGAACGCATGTTACCATGATTAGTGCAACAATTTATATTTTATATGTGTACAAGTTTAAATAAATTGAACTTTTATAAATAACATGTACACACTTGAGAAATTGCCTTGGTGCATGATATTTATTTATATCTGTTACGGAAATGTGAACGGATATGTTTTACCAGGGAGAGCGAATAGTGCTAATTCAAGTGAAAACAACACTTCGAATGGTTTAAAAACAAACTGTAAGTCTGAATAACAATATGTTATACACATGTATGATGATTAATATTTGAAAATAAAATGTTATTAATTCTAGTTTAAGATAGGATGCGTGGACAATAGCTTGCATTTACCACTACCGCCCGTGACGTTAGCTTGCATTTACCACTACCTTCATGAAGGTAGCTTGCATTTACCACTACCGTTCATGAAGGTAGCTTGCATTTACCACTACTGTTCATGACGATAGCTTGCATTTACCACTACTGTCCATAACGGCAGCCTTCCTTTACCACTACCGTTCATGACGATAGCTTGCACTTACCACTACTGTTCATGACGATAGCTTGCATTTACCACTACTGTCCATGGCGATAGCTTGCATTTACCACTACCGTCCATGACGATAGCTTGCATTTACTACTACTGTCCATGACGGTAAATTGCATGTACCACTACTGTCCATGACGATAGCTTGCATTTACCACTATTGTCCATGACGTTAGCTTGTATTTACCACTATTGTCCATGACGTTAGCTTGCATTTACCACTACTGTCCATGACGGTAGCTTGCATTTACCACTATTGTCTATGGCGATAGCTTGCATTTACCAGTACTGTCCATGAATAGGCTCAATCAAACCGAGAAACATTTTCAAATTTTTGAGCGCTCGTAGAAGGATCCATATTCTCTATTTTAGAACCTTAACTGTTAATTACACACTTGTATTTATATCTTAATTCCGTTAGTTAATATATATCGTTATTTCGTTTGGTCACACAGCCTAACTACAAGATATGAGTTTGTATCTTGTAATCATTGGATTATCTGTATTTTGTTAGATCGAATAACATTTTTACTAAAAATGTACATTGGAGTCGGAGAAGTTTTTAATTGTTCGCTTGACGGAAAGCAAACACATTTACCAGTGTGGCATATTCTAAGGTCTGGTTTAAATTTGATTTCCTAATTTAATGTGATTTGGGATACTTATAAAAGACATTCCTCTCAAAATATATGTGATTCAGATGAATTGTGTAATATATAAAAAGTTTTTTTTTATATCTTGGCACATAATCTAACAAATAACAATTAAGCCTTTTTACCGCCGTCAGTAATCCTAGTGATATAAAGTTTAAAAACAAACTAATTTGTATGATATACTTAATTATTATGACATTTTCGTACTGAACATCAGGTTCCAAAGTATCTGCTTAGCGAACTGGAAAACTCTCAAATTCACTAAAATTGACTTCGAGGGTACATTGTAATTAAAAATCCAGCAATTTATTTGAAATAAAATGTATCGTATTGTATTGCTTCTAATTTACATAACTACTCATATAAAAAAGAGAGATTTATTTCTTTCTTTGAAGTAAAATTTGCAGTGCTAGAACCAACATAAATAAAATCGACATTCTTACACAAAGTACCGAATAAAATTGAGAACTTTATTCCATTTTCTCTGGGCTCACAATGAATTTAGATAATATAATAACCACATTTATTGCCTATTCATTTAATTAAAAGGATAGTCTTTCCTTGAATAGGCAATACAATTAAAACAATGTATTAAAAATCTGGTAAAGGGGCGATCCCTCAGAAGCAGTTAATGTGAAAATTTCAAACTCGGTTTCATAGAATCGGTTCATAAGATATAATGAAAAAAGTGCTATATCTTTCATGCCCCCTAGCACCGGCATAAGCGGTATTCAATCTTCAACACTTAACGTGCTGGAATCAATGATCCAGAAAGACTAGAAAAATATAACAACATCGAAGTGACGTGAATTTAATACATTAAAGAATTAGGTGGCATCTGCAGTATATTTTAATATGTAACACCTTTCATTTCTTGTCTCTAATAGGACTATACAAAGATTAGTTTTTGGTATGTTCAAATTGTAACAAAATCAACGACGTACAGTTAAGGAATCCGCCAAAGAACAATTATATGTTCAGCAAAAAAAAAAAAAAAAAAAAAAAAAAAAAGATGCAGGGAATAAAATAATGTCTAAACACTTTTCTTGTCACTTTTTAAGACGTATTTTAAAAAAATAATGATTTTTATATTTGTACAGATCAAATATGCGATGCAAGTGAGTTCCAATGTACGAACAACGAGTGTATCCATGCATCCTGGGTTTGCGATGGCGACGCAGATTGTCTAGACAATTCCGACGAACTAAATTGCGACGGTAAATATGTAACATTATACTTTAAACTTACTGGTAGAGGTACTGTTGGCATTTACCATTTATTGAGAGGATAACTATCGTTTGTGTGAAATATGGAATATATTTCACTGATTTTTTCATCACAAGGTATAGATATGGGGAACGCACACTTCAAATAAAACGCCGATGACGGCGGACAATAATTACTATTGAACGTAAAAATATAGTTCTCTGTACACTTCCAACTTATGTGGCTTAGTTTGTGAAAAAAAAACAAGATACCACATGTTGGTGGTTAAAAATTGGGCATGTATTAACAATAATGCCAGAAATATGTTTTTATATCAGTTGAAAATCTAATTAATACAAGATAACCTTTTTAGACATTATTTTTTACAAATCCGGGTCAAACAGAGGCGCTTTCCGAATCCGCTTTATCAAAAGTAATTTTTTTATAGATTACCTTAAAAATTTGAATATGAGTCAAAGAGGTAGGAAATATATTTAATCTGTAAAATACCCATTCAAGTTGCTAAAATTTCCATTTTTCCATGTCCTACAATTAGATATGCAAATTCAGATACCATGTTATAATTAAGCAATGATTTATATACACAATTGTCTGTTAAAACATGATGTGCTGTCAAGAATGTCTGACATAAGTCAAGTAAAATATCAGTACTGAATCTAGTTGATGTTGAAACTATACACTGAAAGACAATCTACGTCTTCTAATACTTGTATTCGGGTTATACTAGGGAATCGTTTTTGTTGAAATTTACAACATATACCGATTGTAAAATTTGTAGTTAACAAAAAAGTACGCTAAATAAAAGAAAAACAATGTAAAAGAAAAAATAACAAAAATCATAGCCAAAGGTTTTAATGACATTATACGTTTTTTTTCGGCATAGCTGTAGTAATGTCGTTTTGTACCCTACATTTGTACCACTGAGATTGTAAGCCACAAACATGTTTACAATTCATAGATTCCTGACCAATCACCGGAATAGCGGATACAATAAGAATTTTACCACAACATGTTTGTTAGCAAAATTGTTCATGTCAATGTTTGTGATTAAAAATTTTGTTAATCAAATACAAAATTAGAGTAGAGATATAAAAGAGAGTTATAAAAATAAATTATGAAATTTCAAAAAATAAAGCAATATTTACTGGGATCCTTCGTATTTACCGGGCAGACAAAATTTATTCCTGTCGCAAATTTTCAAATCGCCGAGAGTGAAGGACAAATAAGAATGTCTTATTTTTTCAGTATTAAATCGTATTTATTTTGGCAGATGTTCATAAAATATACCAGTATTATTAAAAAACCATCATGGAACGACCCTTTTACATCACACACAATATTTTAGTGTGTAAATACACACATTGCATTTTATTGTTATTATAATTACACGTGCAAATAGTTGTTTACTGTAAATACTCAGTTCTATGCTTTGAGGGGAAAGAGTGTAGGAGAGAGATTATGGGAGGCGTCGTGGTGGGTAAGAGTGTGGGTGTGGGGGGAGGCAGGCATGGAGGAGGGTGACATGAAATGTTGTATTCAATGTCGTAAAATTGGTCAGCGATTGTATAGCATCTCGTTTGCCCTTTAATTAAAACAGATTTGATTTGATTAAAAAATCTCACTTTTTGCAAGGCAAGTGTAGTGAATAGTTGTATATATGGAACAAATTTATCTTTAATTATTTTTCCCTTTCCTGCAATATGGAACAAATTCATCAAATGCATATTTGCTTTGTTTGACAAATACTGTTTGTGGAACAAGTACCGAACGATTAAGTTAACATTTACTTCAACAACGTTAATCAAATGACATCATTAAATTATGTAATTCAGTTCACCTCCAATTAAAAATTCGTATATCAAAATAATTCAGTCATAATTTACACCGTTAATTGGATCATAAAAATGCTGATTGACTAGAGAAGGCATTAATCAACTGTTATTTAAGTAATAATAATCGTAATATTATAACCAATGAAATTGTTTGCATACGAGTTCAATGACTGTACTTATCTCAGGAGAAGTTTAAAGGAACTCCACTGAATTCCAAAAGCCAATATACAATAAATTTTAATTTATAACATAAATCAGCTGGGGCACTAATAATTTAAAAAAAAGATACTTAGAAATAAATTGAAAAATCGTATTTTTATGCTATTCTTGGTTCGATATTAGTGAATTTTAAGCGTTGCAACGCTTTTCATTTTTGGGTCATTTTTCAGGATTAAGATGATTATTCTGGAAAAACGAAGTTTTTCAATTAATTTCTAAGTATTTTTTTTAATTATTAGTGCCCCTGCTGATTTATGTTATATCATATGTTATCTGATATTTTGCACACAAGTAATTGGTCTATAAAATTTACTGAATCTAAAAAAATATTTCTAGTCCCATCATGTCAAATAACCACAGTGGAGTCCCTTTAAAAGCTACTTTATATTTACATGCTTCAAAAGTACTGTTGACATGCACACATTCAAAACCTACATACATATTACGACTGTTTACGTCAAAATGACACTTACAAGGTCGCTTGACATTAGAACGACATAGAAACAGAAAATCAAACGTTTTTAATCATCATTTAAATATTCTTTGCAGTTAGCTAATAAAACATTTTTATATCAAGAAATATCTTAAATTTTGAATCAAATCCCAAATTCATAATTAATTGATATAGTACAAATCAATAAATCAATAAATCGATCGATCGGCCAATCAATCAATCAACCAATCAATCAATCATTAATTCATTCAATCAATCAATCAATCAATCAATAAATCAATCAATCAATCAATCAATATTGACACGAATAAAGCTTTTTGATACACATACTTTGGATTATTTTTCTAGAACTGTAGTCACAGAAAAAATAAAGCATGACAGTATTTTTTTACAGCAATGTTTTTCTTCGATGACATCTTCGCAAACTGATTTTTATTTATGGCATCAGTTTTTTTTGGGCGTCGTATGGCTGGCTATCTTACAATATTACCAAACAATTATTATTAGATATGTTGCATTGAATTTGTCCATTTAAAATATAAAGCTGTCAAGTTATTATTTTCATAATATTTTTGATTCTTGTCTTGTTTTCTTTTCACTCATTCCAGGAAAAAAAGCCTTAGCACCATTTTGTTACACTACATTTCGCGTAGACGACACGCAATATGAAAAAAATATAAATATGCCAAATGTTATAGTAGCACATTACGTGTATTATTCTATTTTGATTTCATTATATAACTGATTGATTGTTTAATTACTTAGCTTGTATAAATAAGTTGTTATTTCTCTTGTCTGTTTAAATAATGATTAAACATGGAGGAAACGTGTCATTTAAGCATGCAAATGCATCTTTGAAACTCGTGTATAGATAAATTGGTATAATAAATCTGTCATATTTATGAATTTGTTTTGAAATTTCATAAATATAATTACGACATACATCATATCCACCAAAAGAAATACTATCAACAATTCAGGCGCTAAAATATTTTTACAGCCAAACGTATGGATCGTGTTGCATTTCTTTTGTACATCATTCAGAAAATAACATAACATGAAATATATTTTATTCAACATAAAATTGTATACATACAATTTATACTCCTACAATTCAGAAATTAATCTGATCATATAAGGGCATAATTATAAAAGAAAAATAAAGGAACATTGATACAAACATTGCACTTAAACTGTACCTTTTTCAGTCTTTTAGTGGTGGGTGACCTAAAAAGTTCCTACATTGTATTTTAATATGAAATGACATTCGCATTCAACAGCATCATATCGCATCCGATAATTCACTGTTTTCATTTTAAAGCTAACGTTTTTAATTTGTACTATACATGTAAAGCATGCAAATATTGTCATAACAACTTCTTGAAGGCTTCAGTTCTTTGCTTAGACTTTGTGCAATTGATCAAGCGTAAATATATAATTAATGCCCGAGAAGTACATACGCCAAAATATATATCAGTATTTTGTAATATAAGAGGCTTACTAAAAAAACTTATAGGTTATTCAATGTTGTCAAATAATACGTATACGCCGCTATTGTTCATGTGCATATTTGTATGATCTTAATGTGCATATTTGTATGATCATAATGTGCATATTTGTATGATCTTAATGTGCATATTTGTATGGTCACTTGCGCCTTTGGTCCTCTTAATCTGAAATAATATTTCTTTCTTCTTCATCATCTCTAAGTGGCAGCGTGACCGATTGGTTAACGCGCGGACTAGTAATCTAAAGATTGCTGGCGGCGTGGGTTCAAACCATTCCAGTGGCAAGCCGTTGTTTCCGAGATAAAGAAACTTTACACTCATTGCATGGACAATGAAAATAATTATGCACCTTGCCCAATGACTCACATACAGGAACATCGGTGAACAAATTCAACAAAGCGCAAATAAACCCCTTCCACGGTGGCAATAATACATAATAGTAGCAGTAAAATACACATTACATATATAATTATCATAATATTTTTTCGTTGCACACATGATAATGGTTTAAGTTTTGCACATTTTGTTTGTTAATTAGTTGAAATGAGGTTACACATGTATCTCTTTGCTTTTCAGTTAAACCATGCGGACCAGACCTGTTCAAATGCAGCAACAGTGAATGTATTCCAGAACTTTGGGTCTGTGATGGAACAAACGACTGCATAGACAAATCCGACGAAGCAAATTGTACCGGTAAAAACTCGTTTTTAAACTTAATTAATACTGTCTGTTGTTTAAGAAACTCTGCAGAGATCCAAAAGCATAAAAAATATATATTTTGAATTTCTTACATACAACACGTTGGGCACTAAAACAGAAAGATATGCATAAGAAAATTAAGAAATTGACTCAGAAATACATTGTAAATCGTATTTTATGCTATTCTTGGTCCGATTTTAGTGAAAAGAGTTGAACCGCTTTTCAAGTTTTAGTATTTTTTACAATTATAATATTTTTTTAAATACACGAAATGAGCGAATGATTTGAAATTTCGTACACAGGTTATTGGCCTAAACCTACATAAAATGGAGCATTAATCTCCAAAAAATATTGCTAGTCCCTTTATGTAAAAGAAACCTAAGCGGAGTCCCTTTAACAAATGTTTATGTTTGATGTTCTTGTACAAACTCCAATTCCATCAACAAATCTTGAATCTCACTGATTTACACTAAATATCAGAATTTAGTGAAGCTGTAGTGGTTAAACTTGAAAAGCGTTTGCCCTAGAAGTTTTGTTTTAATCCAACATTTTACTAGTAGAAAGCAGAATTATTTTGTGTACATATAATATTGATATGCCTGCTCTTATGAACCATACTATTAATTTATTCATAATTGTAACGAAACAAAATGCTACCTCTCATTACTTTTAATAATTTTTATGCTTTATGTACAAATATATAAGCAGACGAATAATTCTGGTTAATATGAAATTATTTAAATGCCGTGGATTTATGTCAGATTAAATAAATCAATCTTCCTGGTAATTTACTTATATGAGTTAGTTCTTAAATTGTTCAGACACACTGTTTTCAAATCTTAAAAAAAAAAACAACAACAACAACGAAACAACAACAACAGCAACCCCCAAAACAATAAAAAAAAACCCCAAAAAACAACAACAAAAAAACCCCCAAAAAAAACGTAATTTCCTTCATCTCTATCACAGGCAGAGAATGTGGCAAGGGCTATTTTTCATGCGGGGACGGTAGATGTATAACGCAACGTTGGGTATGTGACGGTGAATACGATTGCACGGACAAGTCGGACGAGAAAAACTGCAGTGGTATTATTTTATAATCTTTACTCCAATTTTCTTTGTAAGTTGATGAAATTGTCGTTATATGAATTTTGAACTGTGTACTAGCATTGCTAGAGGTATAATAAATATACAATATAAAGTGTTTGGCTAACAGTGCGTTGTCAATATTTTTCAATCTGTATTTTAGTAACGATGATTTATTACACTTGTCACAGGGTCTTTGAGAAACATCGATTTGAAATTACCAACTTGTTTTATTGTTTTAAGGGTGCAATGTTAATGCATAAATTGTTTTATCAGTTTATTGTGTCTGTCGAAAAAGGAGATTTAAAAAAGTAAAATCTATTAATAAATCTCAAAATATATCAATGTTCATACTGGCTCCCGACGTGATAAGAAATTTACTACACATACTCAATGTATGGACTAGCAAATGCTTTCAAATCAAAGGATTGCTAGTCGCATGGCTTCAAACACCTTTAGGGACACGCTGTTGTTTCCTTGAGAAAGAAACTTACATTAATTGTACAGTTATGGTTAGTTCCAAGTGCGTTTATAAGTTTATATATACATGTTTCATCCTACACAAACGAATCAATAATGATTTAATTATGTATAAAATACTGAATGCCTTCAACTAAGATTTCTTTGAATTCATTTGCAAACCTTCTTTCAAGTATATGTTAATTTTAAATCTTGCCTGTCGAAAAGTCAATTTTAATACAGGGTTTATTCTCAAAGAGGTGATAAGAGTTATCAATTAGGTAGTTGATGCTAGGAACTTTGACCGGAAATTTGCGTTACAAAGGATAGGGTACAGCCTAATGTAAAAGATCAATATCAGTCACCGGATACCTTTATTTGAGAAACATTAGGTTACCAAAACATGCATTAATTTCAAATTAATGTCACTTCAAAGTTGATATTTGTAAACCAAAGCAAGTATAACTGAATAATTTCATTAAAAAAGGAAAGTGCATTTATGTTTTTTGATTAGATTTTAATATATGCGACACGTTCAATATGATTAACAATTAAGTAGGTAAAATTATTAATTAATTAAATTTTTTTTGATATTTTAAGTACAATCTATATATATATATATTTAAGACCATTGTGTTCTCTAAAACAAACTTTAAATATTCAATATGTAGTCAAAAGTAAAAATTTATCATTTGAATAAATGTTGAATTTTTTAACTTGTGCTTAAGAGAATGTTTCATTCAGAAGCAAGAAATACAGTGTAGCAATACCATGTGACATTGACATTATTTTCGGCATCATTTCCAAGACAGATATTGGTCGCTTCGAAATGACGTCATGGTCACTAGGTATCGCTACACTGAATTAGGGACCATTCTTGTTACGTTACTGTATGCTTGGTATGTTACTGTATGCTTGGTAAATAAATATAACAAAAAATAGTTCTTCACAGAGAACCAAAACTTTTAACTCAAACTCAATTACTTGGTATATAAAAACCTGTGGGAGCGTTACTTAAGCACAGCTATAATTGACATGAAAACAATCTTGACTGCTTGTAAGAAGAAGCTTTATGTAACAAATATAGATTTAGATGTACCCTCACACCCAACCCTTGCCTTTTTTATTAGCTTTTGTTTATAAACGGTGGCATTTTCCTATTTTTTCCTGATTAACTTGTTAATTGTAACAATAATCGGTATACCATCTCCTCCTTTTTATCACATTGCTCTATTTCTAAAGCAAGTTATACAGCTAAAATTTTCCGGTACGTTCACAAAATCATTTCCGAATTGCAATATAACTGTCCAGTGATAGGACAGTTTATAGCATTTGGCTCAGACTTGCATGATATTGCTCTTTTTAAAAAAAAAACAAATAAAAATAATAATGCGAAGGTATGAATCACTTGTTTTGGATTTATATATGTGTTTAAAAGTTTTAAATAGGAAAAATACATAATTATCTAGGCATTGATTATATACATTTGTACACTTTTGTATATCGTATGTCAATTGTTTGTAGTTATGGACATATCAAGGGTTTAATAATACATAAAGACTTATAATTATCTTAATTCATTATATAAATACAGTATATGTATTCTGCTATAAATATATCAATAGCAATTAATAAATCGTCAGCTATTTAAATTTCCTAAATATTTTATATCGTGTCTTTTTTATTATGAATGTATGTAGCATGATATTTGTTTCGTTTATCAAGGACATGGCACTTATCAACACCATGTGCGAAAGACACACCAGAAAACTGCGACACAACACGAGTTGCCGACGTATCAAAACCCATCAACATACATTCAGTCAACAGTCCATCAAGATCCACAAACCAAACAAGAATCAGGAACATCAGAAATATCTACAACATTCAAAGCCTCATCGACAAAGAATAAGCCATCGGCACACTTTCAATCACAGAAACAGACACATGAAAAGTTAGTTACAAATAAAAGCCAACTGTCATCAAGCTACAAAGAAAATGCACCACATAAAATTCCACAAAAGTCAACCATTAAAACCGTAACACACGTGGAGACAGCATACTTTAAAACACATGCTATTAAAGAAGTACCAGAGACGCATCAAAAGCATTTGACGCTCAAAGAAGGCAAGCTATATCAATCAGTTGAAACACGAAAGGCAAAAACTTCAAAAGCTAAAGCAGGTAAAAATGACAAATTGCATGTTATAGAAAATCCGACAGTACCACAGGTGAAAAAATCAAGATCAAATATTATTGCCATAGATATCAAGCCAGCAAAAGCTGTTGTTGTAAATCAGCCAGACATAAAATATGCATCTACTCAAAAGCCAGTTACTTTTACGCCTAAAATAATAGATATATACGCAGACAAAATGACAACAAAACCACAAGCAACTTACGATAACATTCAGTCAATCGAATCGTTTGTTAAGCGCAAACATATAAAAGGGAAAGAATCGTACACACAAGCAGGGGAAATTGCAAACACATACGAAAATCAAGATATAACTAGAAAATCAGGAACGCATAATATATACGATAATAGAAACCAACCACAAGAACAAATGGCTTATGTACCACTGTTACAAGAGTTTATGAACACTCAACACGTCGCTAGACAAGTAATGAACAAAGATGGCACAAACTGGAAACAAACATCTGGTCTAAAAGTTGAACAAATAGACAATAGTCTTAGTGTAGATAGAAAACCAAATCAAAAAGTAGTTTTTCAGGAATTAGCAGCAAAAGATAACTACATTAATATTAATGATTCCAACGGAAAAGTGATTAAAGATACAAAGTTTGATATCCCTCACATGTCGGAAGCAAATACTTTGAAAATATTTTCAAAGAAAACATACGTACCGGAGGGTAAAACTACGTACATAGATAATAAGCCAGCACAACAATTATTACCATATCATTCTCTAACAAAAGATATATACGTAAGTAAGAAACAAATATACAACCAAAAACAAGCAGAACAATCGACACCGGAAATTCAAAAACAAAACGTTTATAATGCAGCAATAAAAGACAGCTATAACAATGCGAGTCACACCTTTGACCAACAGGCATATAAACTGCCAATGAAACACAAAGCTATTGAAGAAGTTCCTTATGCTAAGGAATTGAAACCAACGGAAATAGATAGTTCAACAAACTTAAAGCAAAATACCAAGCAAGATGTGTTTCAACCAGCGAGAGAAGTAACTCAAGAGTCATATGATCCAGGTACAATGAGCGCTTACGGAAGTATAAAGCAGACCACTGAGACAAGGCCCAATACACCGGTTATGAAAGACAATAACAAAGAATTTGATTATACTCATATTCTAGGTAAAAATGAATCGGCGATAACAGAGCCATTCTTAAATGTTGGGCAAAGTGCAAACAAAGAGGTGCACACATCAATTGCAAATGAGGCTATGAAAGATGTAAATCGAGCACCCATTCAAGGGGCATATCAAGCAAAACTGAATGGTACTGACACTAAAGTTCAACAAACTCTCAATTCAAAATCGCATGAAATGTCAGTAAAGAAAACGTACATAAATACTCATCCAAAGCCACAGGTATATAAACGACCAATAAAAGACACATACTCTGACAGAAAGCAAGCAGCAAATAGTGAAAATAGTGAGGTATATAAACAAGCAATGGTAGGCACATATACTAACATAATGAAAGATCTTGAATCAATTGTAAATAAACCAACAATGAAAATAAAAGATAGTAAAAACCAAAAATTGTATCATACGGCGATAAAAGACACTTCCAGTTTAAATGCATATAAACCATCAAAACCGACTATACAAGAAATAAATACTGATGTGAAACAAACAATGAAACATGAGGCATATAAACCGACCATACAAGATGTTTTTACTGATGCAAAACAAACAAACAATCAAGAGGTAAATACACAGACAATAAAAGAAGTTTATACAGATGTTAAACAAACAACAGATCAAAAGGCAAAAAAACCGACAATACAAGAAATTGATACAGGTGTGAATCAAGCAGCCAATCATAAAGCAAATAAACCGGCAGTACTAGATGTGTATACAGATGTAAAACAACCAACTATCCATGAGGCAAATACACCACTGGTACAAGACATTTATTCAGATTCGAAGCAAACACCCACTTATGAGGCAAATAAAAAGATAATACAAGGGCTTTATACAGAAGTAAAACAAACAACTGACCAAGAGATAAAAAAAACGGTTATTAAAGACATATACACTGATATCAAACAATCTGCCAAGTATCAGGCAAATAAACCTTCGTCCAAAGACATGCATATGGATGCAAGCCAAAGAACCAGTTATGAGACAAATAAACTGAAAGTAAAAGACATATATACAGATGGTAAACAATCAACAATCCATGAGGTAAATACATCACCAACGATACAAGACATTAATACAGATACGAAGCAAACAACCAATAATGAGGCAAATAAAAAAACACAGCAAGGGTTTTATACAAATGTAAAACAAACAACTGAACAAGGGACAAATATACCGATTACTAAAAATACATATTCTGATATAAAACAAACTGCCAAGTATGAGGCTAATAAACCTTCATTAACAGACATTCACATCGATGTAACTCAAACAACAAATAGTGAGGCAAATAAACCGACGATAAAAGACATGTTTACAGATGTTAAACAATTAACTAACCATAAAGGTATTAAGGCAACAATAACAAACATTTATACAGATGTAAATCAAACAACTATCCAAAAGGCAAATAAACACACGGCGAAGCAAACAACCAATTATGAGGCAAATAAACCGACAATACAAGAAACTCATACAAATATGAAACAAAGTGCCAATTATGAGGTAAATAAACCAAAGGTACAAGATATTTATACTAATGTACAACAAACAACTATCCATGAGGCAAATAAACCCAGGGTACAAGACATTTATACAGATGTGAAGCAAACAACCAATTATGAGGCAAATAAACCGACAATACAAGAAACTTATAGAGATATGAAACAAACTGCAAATTATGAGGTAAATAAATCAAAAGTACAAAACATTCATACGGATGTAAAACAAACAACTAAATATGAGGGAAATAAACCCACGGTGCAAGACATTTATACAGATGTGGATCAGACAACCATTTATGAGGCAAATAAACCAACAATAAAAGAAACTCATGGAGATATGAAACAAACTGCAAATTATGAGGTAAATAAACCGAAGGCACAAGATATGTATACGGATGTAAAACAAACAACTATCCATGAGACAAATAAACCCACGGTACAAGGCATTTATACAGATGTGAAGCAAACAACAAATTATGAGGCAAATAAACCGACAATACAAGAAACTCACACAAATATGAAACAAAGTGCCAATTATGAGGTAAATAAACCAAAGGTGCAAGATATTTACACTGATGTAAAACAAACAAGTATCCATGAGGCAAATAAACCAACGGTACAAGACATTTATACAGATGTGAAGCAAACAACCAATTATGAGGCAAATAAACCGACAATACAAGAAACTCATGGAGATGTGAAACAAACTGCAAATTATGAGGTAAATAAAACGAAGGCACAAGATATTTACACTGATGTAAAACAAACAACTATCATTGAGGGAAATAAACCAAAGGTAGAAGATATTTATACGAATGTAAAACAAACAACTATCAATGAGGCAAATAAACCCAGGGAACAAGGCAGTTATACAGATTTGAAGCAGACAACCAGTTATGAGGCAAATAAACCAACAATACAAGAAACTCATAGAGATATGAAACAAAGTGCCAAAAATAAGGTAAATAAACCAAAGGTACAAGATATTTATACGGATGTTAAACAAACAACTACCAATGAGGCAAATAAACACACGGTACAAGGCATTTATACTGATGTGAAGCAAACAACCAATTATGAGGCAAATAAACCGACAATACAACAAACTCATAGAAATATGAAACAAGCTGCAAATTATGAGGTAAATAAATCAAAAGTACAAGATATTCATACGGATGTAAAACAAACATCTATCTATGAGGGAAATAAACCCTCGGTGAAAGACCTTAATACAGATGTGAAGCAGACAACCTATTATGAGGCAAATAAACCAACAATAAAAGAAACTCATAGAGATATGAAAAAAACTGCTAATTATGAGGTAAATAAACCAAAGGTACAAGATATGTATACGGATGTAAAACAAAAAACTATCCATGAGGCAAATAAACCCACGGTACAAGACATTTATACAGATGTGAAACAAACAACCAATTATGAGGCAAATAAACCGACAATACAAGAAACTCATACAAATATGAAACAAAGTGCCAATTATGAGGTAAATAAACAAATGGTACAAGATATTTATACTAATGTAAAACAAACAACTATCCATGAGGCAAATAAACCCGCGGTACAAGACATATATACAGATGTGAAGCAAACAACCAATTATGAGGCAAATAAACCGACAATACAAAAAACTCATAGAGATATGAAACAAAGTGCCAATTATGAGGTAAATAAACCAAAGGTGCAAGATATTTACACTGATGTAAAACAAACCACTATCCACGAGGCAAAAAACCCCACGGTACAAGACATTTATACAGATGTGAAGCAAACAACCAATTATGAGGCAAATATACCAACAATACAAGAAACTTATACAGATATTAAACAAAGTGCCAATTATGAGGTAAAAAAACCAAAGGTACAAGATATTTATACGGATGTAAAACCAACAACTATCAATAAGGCAAATAAACCTACGGTAGAAGGCATTTATACAGATGTGAAGCAAACAACCAATTATGAGGCAAATAAACCGACAATACAAAAAACTCATAGAGATATGAAACAAAGTGCCAATTATGAGGTAAATAAACCAAAGGTGCAAGATATTTACACTGATGTAAAACAAACCACTATCCACGAGGCAAAAAACCCTACGGTACAAGACATTTATACAGATGTGAAGCAAACAACCAGTTATGAGGCAAATATACCAACAATACAAGAATCTTATACAGATATTAAACAAAGTGCCAATTATGAGATAAATAAACCAAAGGTAGAAGATATTTATACGAATGTAAAACAAACAACTATCAATGAGGCAAATAAACCCACGGTACAAGGCATTTATACAGATGTGAAGCAAACAACCAATTATGAGGCAAATATACCAATTATACAACCAGATTATGAGGTAAATAAACCAAAGGTGCAAGATATTTACACTGATGTAAAACAAACCACTATCCACGAGGCAAAAAACCCCACGGTACAAGACATTTATAGAGATGTGAAGCAAACAACAAATTATGAGGCAAATAAACCGACAATACAAGAAACTCATACAGATATTAAACAAAGTGCCAATTATGAGGTAAATAAACCAAAAGTACAAGATATTTATACTGATGTAAAACCAACAACGATCTATGAGGCAAATAAACCCACGGTACAAGACATTTATACAGATGTGAAGCAAACAACCAATTATGAGGCAAATGTATCAGCAATACAAGAAACTCATACAGATAAGAAACAAAGTGCCAATTATGATGTAAATAAACCCACGGTACAAGACATTTATACAGATGTGAAACAAAAAACTATCCACGAGGCAAATAAACCCAGGGTACAAGACATTTATACAGATGTGAAGCAAACAACAAATTATGAGGCAAATAAACTAAAGGTACCTGAGATTTATACTGATGTAAAACAAACAACTATATATAAGGCAAATAAACCCACGGTACAAGACATTTATACAGATGTGAGGCAAACAACCGATAATGAGGCAAATACATCTACAATACAAGAAGCTCATACAAATATGAAACAAAGTGCCAAAAATAAGGTTAATAAACCAAAAGTACAAGATATTTATACAGATGTAAAGCAAACAACAAATTATGAGGTAAACAAGCCAAATGTACAAGATATTTATACTGATGTAAAACAAAGAACTATCCATAAGACAAATAAACCCGCGGTACAAGACATGAATACAGATGTGAAGCAAACAACCAATTATGAGGCAAATATACCAATTATACAAGATACTCATACAGATATTAGTGCCAATTATGAGTTAAATAAACCAAAAGTACATGATATTTATACAGATGTACAACAAACCACTATCCATCAGACAAATAAACCCACTGTACAAGACATTTATACAGATGTGAAGCAAACAACCAATTATGAGGCAAATGTACCAACAATAGAAGAAACTCATACAGATAAGAAACAAAGTGCCAATTATGATTTAAATAAACCAAAGGTACAAGATATTTATACGGATGTACAACAAACACCTATCCACGAGGCAAATAAACCCACGGTACAAGACATTTATACAGATGTGAAGCAAAAAACCAATTATGAGGCAAATAAACCAGCACAAGAAACTCATACAAATATGAAACAAAGTGCCAATTATGAGGTAAATAAACCAAAAGTACAAGATATTTATACTGATGTAAAACCAACAACGATCTATGAGGCAAATAAACCCACGGTACAAGACATTTATACAGATGTGAAGCAAACAACCAATTATGAGGCAAATGTATCAGCAATACAAGAAACTCATACAGATAAGAAACAAAGTGCCAATTATGATGTAAATAAACCCACGGTACAAGACATTTATACAGATGTAAAGCAAACAACAAATTATGAGGTAAACAAGCCAAAAGTAAAAGATATTTATACTGATGTAAAACAAAGAACTATCCATGAGGCAAATAAACCCGCGGTACAAGAAATTAATACAGATGTGAAGCAAACAGCCAATTATGAGGCAAATATACCAACAATACAAGATACTCATACAGATATGAAACAAACTGCTAATTATGATGTGAACAAACCAAAAGTACAAGATATTTATACAGATGTAATACAAACAACTATCCATGAGGCAAATAAACCCAAGGTACAAGAAATTCATTCAGATGTGAAGCAAACAACCAATTATGAGGGAAATATACCAATTATACAAGATACTCATACATATATTAAACAAAGTGCCAATTATGAGGTAAAAAAACCAAAGGTACAAGATAATTATACGGATGTACAACAAACAACTATCCATCAGGAAAATAAACCCACTGTACAAGACATTTATATAGATGTGAAGCAAACAACCAATTATGAGGCAAATGTACCAACAAAACAAGAAACCCATACAGTTAAGAAACAAAGTGCCAATTATGATGTAAATAAACCGAAGGTACAAGATATTAATACGGATACACAACAAACAACTATCCACGAGGCAAATAAACCAATGGTACAAGACATTTATACAGATGTGAAGCAAACAACCAATTATGAGGCCAATAAACCAAAGGTACAAGATATTTATACGGATGTAAAACAAACAACTATCTATAAGGCAAATAAACCCACGGTACAAGACATTTATACAGATGTGAAGCAAACAACCGATTATGAGGCAAAAACATCAACAATAAAAGAAGCTCATACAAATTTGAAACAAAGTGCCAATAATGAGGTAAATAAACCAAAAGTACACGATATTTATACAGATGTAAAGCAAACAACAAATTATGAGGTAAACAAGCCAAAAGTACAAGATATTTATACTGATGTAAAACAAAGAACTATCCATGAGGCAAATAAACCCGCGGTACAAGAAATTAATACAGATGTGAAGCAAACAACCAATTATGAGACAAATACATCAACAATAAAAGAAACTCATAAAAATATGAAACAAAGTGCCAATAATGGGGTAAATAAATCAAAAGTACAAGATATTTATACAGATGTAAAACAAACAACTATCAATGAGGCAAATAAACCAACAATACAAGAAACCCATACAGGAAAGAAACAAACTGCCAATTATGAGTTCAACACACCAAACGTACAAAATGTTTATACGGATGTAAAGCAAACAACTATCTATCAGGGAAATATACCTACGGTACAAAATATTAATACAGATATGAAGCAAACAACCAATTATGAGACAAATAAACCACGAATACAAGATACTCATACAGATATTTTACAAAGTGAAAATTATGATGTAAATAAACCAAACGTACAAGATATTTATAGAGATGTAAAACAAACAAATATCCATGAGAAAAATAATCCCACGGTACAACACATTTATACAGATGTGAAGCAAACAACCAATTATGAAGCAAATATACCAACAATACAAGAAACTGGTACAGATATTAAACAAAGTGCCAATTATGAAGTTAATAAACCGAAAGAACAAGATATTTATACTTATGCCACAAAAGACACTTATTCAGTTGAAACACAAACTAATGCAGAATTGAGGGATATTCCCGAGACAGAAGTACATGTATCAGAAATACAAGGTATGTACAAACGTGAAATGCAGAGTCATGGCCAAGAGGTATATGAACCAGTCAATAAACCATATATAAAAGACACCTACTCAGAAGGAAAACAATCACTTAACGCAGAGGCGTACAAACCAACAATGGAAGTTAAAAACAAAACTGTCATCTACAATAAGGCATATGTTAATTCAAAAACACCCGAGAAAGTGTCAAACGCTTTAACCAACAATATACAATCAACTGCAGCTGCTCAAATTCTTAATTATTATAAAGATTCAAAACAGGCATATGAAGCATCATCTGAGGAAAAAGTGTACACCGATGCAAAACAGACATCAAAATCAGTACCATATAAGGCAATCAAAAAACAAAATATTGAATCAGCTTCCGGTGAAAAGCTGCATGGACAATCTAGAACAGTAACAATGGACAATAGAATGAAGATGATGGAACCTGAAAATCATAAAGTACCTGTATCAAACATCTCTCAAAGTTCAAGCAAAGCATCAACACCAGCAAGCGTTAAACACTTAGATACAAAACTATCTTTAATAGGATCTATTTTACATCACGTTTCTGCCATGGATACAACCACTCAGTTCAAACAAACACCTTTAAAAGAAACACATGATTCGACGACTAAGAAACAAAAATATGCAACACCTGATGCACATTACAAAGATAGCACAACAAGTAACAAACGCGAACCTGTCTTGGACACACACCATAAAAAAGAATCATTGTTAGGTACACAACTCAAAGACGGGAGAGGAATTGTGAATCCAAAGAAATATAAAACAAAAGAACAGACATTCTATACACCAAATCATCAGTCTTTAGTAGCACACATGATTGAACATGCAAAACAGATACCCGGCTATATGCCAAGTGACTTGCCAAATACAGGAACAAGCATTAATGATAAGAAAGTAATAACATCACCTAACAATCAGTTTGGGGCAAATGCATATGAACATGTTAACCAAAATCTTGATTCTGTACCATCTGATGCAGCGGTAATTTATGCATTCTCAGATTCAAAACCTGCTTTAGAATCACCGCCAGAAGGAGGCTCTCTTGCATATTCGCAATTAAATACACAGCAGACACCAACAGACATAATGTATAATGGAGCTTACGCTGAACACACTAATTTAAATACTCAACTAACCCCCGACATGACGCAAAATAAAGGCTTAGTGATGGACCAATACATAGACCCATACCTAAATAACCAAGGATCTGCGACGGAATCCTCCGCAAATGCGCAGCAAATGTCCGAAAGTGTGTCTCATGAATTACCTGTGATGCATGCATATGTAAATACACAGCACACCTTCAGAGGTATACCGAATAAAGAATCTCTTAGGGATCAATACATACAAGCACAAAACCCATTTTTAACTAGTTCTTATGATTCGAATGTGGCAGGTACCTATGCTAATACACAACAAATTTCCGAACCTATACCAAATGATCCATCTATGACGAATCCTTACCGAAATGTTCAACATACCTCCGGATATACTCAGCATGATATGCCTTTAACTAAACCCTTTTCGAATTCGAAACATGTATCTGGATCTATGTCTTCAAACACAATTGGATTGAATTCTTTCGCGAGTTCAAATCAGAATCCAGCATTTAATCCATATAACAAATTCAATACTTATAATGCGGATCGTGAAATGTCTGAGGAGCGGTCGGCAGGTCCCTTCTTAGACCTTCATCAAAATGGTCCATCACGTCCGTATAACATGCCGTTACCTAGACGTTATAGTAATGGAAAACAAATGACATCATCTAATTCATTGGCTATCGGCAATAGTGGCTTATACGACTCTGAAAATCAAATGACATTGTCGAATAGTCATGATACATCGTTGAAAGGCATATACGGAACTAGGAATCAAATGATTTCACCAAAAGCATATAATTATCCTCTGACTAATAGCAACAATGGGAGACAGATGTCATCTTTACAATATTTTGGGCCATTGCAAGACTCATATGAGAACAGGGAAAGAAGTACCGACTTCAATCCACGTACTAGAAACATTGGGTACGAGCAACAACTTCTACCATTACTGCTTGAAACACATGGCGCTGCTGTAGTAAAAACAAAAGTACCAAAAGAAAAAGTCACGACAGCTGCAAAAAACATCAAATCACTATCTACCAATACGAAACTAAACAAAATCAATAAACTAACACCAGAGACACAAACTCCAGAACAAGCCTCGTTTGAAGTAAATACAGCAAAACTAACTCCAAGAGCAAAGCATATTTCTAGTATTGCTACATATAAAGAACCTCTAGCAAAATTAGACGGACAGGGAGCGCAGAAAATTTCACTAGAAATACATAGCTTACCTTTTCAAAAAGTTAAGACAATACAAAAGTCCCCTTACAACAAATATAATACACCTCTAAAGAAAACCACCAAAAAAGAGACAAACGATAGTAGATTTAAAATAATAGGTATACCATTATCAAAATTACCGGCAACACATACGTTACCAAACGAACCGAATGGAATTCCTGTGATTCAACAACGCATGCCTTCAAGGCAAATTACTAATTTTATGTCATATACATCAGCACCAGTGAAACATATAGTGCCTGCGACAAATGTTTCTGTTAAGACACCAACCCCGTCTAAACAAACAAGCGTGAAATTGTACGAAACAACTACATCTCAAACTATCACTCCAGCGACTCCACGAATGCCGAAAATGTACTGCAGAATGTTAAACTATTTTACTTGTAATAACGGATTCTGTGTTCCAAAAATGTGGATTTGTGACGGTCATGACGACTGCAGGGATAACTCGGACGAACTTAATTGCAACAATAAAAGTCTTGGAGTTATTTAAATCCAATGATAGGGTAACTCGTAAGACTTACAGATGAGGTTATGATAATTTGGACTAACATAAATATGATGATAGACGACGACAAATCTTTTCCAAATTATCATTTACGGGAAAATGAAAAAGTGGTAATTAATGTACTTCCCTGTTGATAGCATTGAAGTTACAAGGAGAATTTCATGTAAGTTTGCTATGACAGAAATCACCTTTACGATCTGTTGACCTTAGTAACAAATGTGTAGTGGTAAGCTAAGGTAAAAATAAATCACAGAATAATGTTAGATTCAGCCATTTCTTATAAATCTGACGTAACACTTTTGTATTTAGATAGTGTTTTGGTTGTCGTTATAGGCATAGGAAGTTTATTCATCTAGTATAGCGAATTTGTCATTAACACAATAAATTTTGTCACAAAAAGTGAGCGTTATCAGATGAAGGATTACTTCTGGAATATACGCTGACATAGTGACAAAGCTTATTTAGGTCATCTATAACTGCACACGCTTTTGGTATTTATTGCATAATCAAGTTGTTATGTACAATAGTCCTCCCGCATTAACTTTATCTTTTGATACTCATTAGTATACTTTCCTTAAAGTGTTTGAATTTAATTATCCGAGTACATGGCCTTAACAGATACGAGATGTATAAAGCAATATTTTTTGTTCCTACTTATATGTGTATTTTATCAAATAGTATTGTATAATAAAGAGTGAAAGAGTGAAAATAAAAATAATGTGTAATGTAGATTCTGTGTTCGTTATTTATTTAAAACAAATTTCGCCTATATATTATAGAAAAGTCAATTGTTAATCCTCTCCTACGGGCGATGGCAAGGGGGATTATCCGAGCCTTCTTCCTACTGTATGTCCTCTCATTGCCGGATTAACTCTGCGATTTTTATATGTCGCATTTTGTAAGAAATAAATTTTAGCGGTTTTAATTGCAGAAATGGGCAACTCATAAATCAAGTCGCTTTACGTAAAATAATAAGCAAGTATCTAATACAAAGGAGTTTTTTTTGGTATGACGGGACGGAAAATAGTATTTCCAGATAATGTTCCATTCGATGTTGTTTAGACCAATGACTTGGGTGCAAAATGTCAGATCATTCTGTTTTTCCAGAATTATGAGCGAAGCAAAGGTTCTCACTCAGATTGAGCTAGAAACGCACAATAATAAAAGTAGAAATTTATTTCTGAGCATCTTTTGCAAACCTTTCCGTTTGAAGTACAGAAGGTGATCTTAGTAAGGAATTAACATTTTGTTTGAGGCTTGTGGATCCAGTTGAGTTCCTTGAGTTATTAGTAATTACAACAGGTGACAGTTTTATTAGTAACCGAATTCAACACTTTGTATTGTCAAAAAAAGTGTATTATCATGTGCATTTTATCATAAATAATATGAGACAAATTTAGCAAATAAATATTAGACTAGCATATTTATAACAATAATCACTTTTTTAACACCGACGAATATATTTACCGGAATATCTAACGTATCTTATAGTCTTTTATTTTTTAATATTTTCCTCCGAAACGAATGTCTAACCATAACCTACTGATTAACATGTCATAAATACCGCATGATGTGGTATACATATATACTTTTCATATCATTCCATATCATTTATTTCGTATTATTATGATAAATTGTAGCATTACTTATCAGATGCAATCGTTTAACCAAAAAATTCATAAATATAAAGGTAAAATAAAGTTGAAAAAAAATAATGTGCGATTAAATGAAAATATAGAGGTATTTTTCTTTTGCTTTGAAATCCATACTTTTAAGGATCATGTAATAGTCACTTGAAAATATTTAATTTTTCAGTCCCAGGCGGACTCTGCACCTCCTACGATGAGACGAAAGTGATTTGACCTCTTTAAAACCGGAAGTAATGCGTCTTTGCCATCGATATAGGGCCAGGTCAGATTATGCACCCGTAAAATCTGACAATACCCTATAATATTAAGTTGACGGTTAAATTAAATCTTTACATCCCAAAAATTAATGATGGACTGTTCCAAAGACTGAAAGCTTGGAATGGAAGCCATTTAAAAGTCTAGCAAGTTAAGAGTTAAATTCTGATTATGAGATCTATGCTTTATGAGGGTCCATCCGCCCTTTAAGGCACAAAATGCAGCTTTCGCTGTCGAGTACAGACCCAAGACAAGTTACGAGGCATGCCCTTAAAGGGTTGATTTTGAAGGACAAAGTGGTGATAATTTACCTCCATGCAATTTCCAAGGAGGGTTGTCTTTATAGGTCACTGTCCGGCGGCAAATGAAAACCTAAATGTACAGTAACCTGAGACAATATGAGGAGGAGGTAGCCCTGAAAAGGACTGATATGCCAGCTAATGATTTGTCTTTTAAGCCGTCACTCCCTGATCTAGGAGCTTACACACCCTGACACACTTTACTTGTCGTCCCTGCCTAATTTGTAGCACCTCTCCCCTTGGCTTCTACCAGGACATCGGCAGCCGAGACAATGATGTCGATAGTAGCTAGCCTAACTCCCCATTCGAACAAAGATATTTTTGTCTCCTGGACCTACCGTATATGTAAAATATCAGCGCTCGGATTTATGCCAGTCAACGCGTCCTCGATGATAAATCAGCCAAGCTTTTAAACTTTCTTCCGATGCCCATGTGCCTTCTCTGCGACGTGCACGCGCCGAGAGGAAAATATAGGAAAAGAGAAGAAGGGTTTAAATCCTTAATCGTTCAGTCTTATATGTCCATTTACTCAAAACGAGAATCGTGGACCTCATGATAAATATATGATGTTATCTATTGTTGAAACTAAGACTTTAAATAAATGTGCAATTCACCAAAATACCTGACTGTAATATCTTCTATTTTTCATTTTCAAATTTTTACCGAGTTTTTCCTCCTAAATGAATAGCACAGAATTTTTTTAAGGTTTGACGCAACCAGAGAGACCTCTTGCAAGAAGAAAAATTACAGGAGGAAAGAGTTTATGATGAAAAAATAATAACTCTTTATTTCTTAAATTAAACAATTATGCATAGAATAACAAGCAAGTTTACAATTCATCAGCCGACAATTATTGTCTCTCCGTTTGATCTGAAAAACAATATAATCCATATGAAGTATTCATTCGTTAAGCAATATTAAAAATATCTAACATTATCTTCTATTGTACTATTGTGACCTCCGTTATGATTTCAGGTGATGTCGTTGCCAAATCTTAAACAGACACAGAATTTTGTCATACTGTTTATTTCTCGAACAATTAATTTCTAAAACAACAAAATAAGATAAAACAACACAAGAGCGAAACAAAAAGATATCGAAACAAAACAATCCCACACGTTATAGACCGTTTTAGATCTTTTTCAATATTGACAATGTGCTTTAATAATACACATTATAGACCGTTTTAGATCTATTTTTATATTAACAATGTGCTCTAATAAACACATTACAGACCGTTTTAGATCTATTTCAATATTGAAAATGTGCTCTAATAATACACAATATAGACCGTTTTAAATCTATTTCAATATTGACAATGTGCTCTAATAAAACAAATTATAGACCGTTTTAGATCTATTTCAATATTGACAATGTGCTCTAATAATACACATTATAGACCTTTTAAATCTATTTCAATATTGACAATGTGCTCTAATAATACACATTATAGACAGTTTTAGATCTATTTCATATTGTAAAGGTGCTCCAATCCCACTCATTGTAAACCGTTTAAGATCTATTTTAACATTGATAATTTGCTCCAATCCCACACATTATTAACCTTGTAAAACGATTTAGATCTATTTCGATATTGACAAGGTGCTCGTACGTCAGTTAATCAGTTATGTAAAATTCATATGCCCAGTTCGTTCGAAGAGTCTGTTGTTTATATTTTCACAGTCTAGGAATAATAGAATTGACAAACGGCAGCCCTGTCTTTCAATGTGAGGCTCTGGACAAATCAATCATCCCGCGTTCATGTATATCTATTTTCAATCGTGTCTATACACAAGTACAATGAAAATAAGTACTTGTAAAAAATCCTGTTTTTATAAATGTGCCTCCTTACTTTTAGTATCACACTATTGGTAAACAACTAATACACTATTTTTTGTTAATTGCCTAACAATTCGAAATATTAAAATATCAACGGAGCACAGCCGTAGCTGCTCTTTAAGGTCATTCATAATGGTGTAATTAATCCTTTCAAATTTGATATCTTAAGATTTCCATTTTATGAAAATCTAAGCTCATGACAATAATCGTATATTTTCAAAAACATTGATAATAATTGTCAGATATACTTACGGGATTTCACAAAGTGGTCTGTATTTACTGGTACACGCTACATCAAGCCATTGGTAGCGATGGTTGGCAAAGATACCCGCACAGTTTGAACCTTTGTGTCCATCTGGCTGACCCGGATACCAGTCTGTATAATTTGATGTAGAATCGTTAGCTTGCCATTTCCATTGCCCTTCAATAATTTCGTCCGTCAGTCCGATCCAGTGATAAGGGTCTGCAAGGATAGTTCAAAAATTCGTGACACGTTGGGTGTAACAGATACAATCTGTTTGGAGTTGTATAACAAATTATACTTACCTGGTTTCTCAGAGAAAGTAAATGGGGTCAATTGTATTTTATATTAAGATCAAATTTTATTGAAACATACGTACGTATATATGATATTCGTGATAATTATTTTCGGGTTTGTCACACACACACACACACACGCACGCACGCACACATAACGTAAGTTAATAAATGGTTTACTTAAATGATCAATAGCGAGTGCAGCGCAGGTTCAAGTTCATCAATTATAGGTAGATAGATAGATTTAATTCGGCAAAAGGTAAAAACAAAAACAAACACAATATAGATAAAAACAATTACAATAAATAAATAAATAAATAAATAAATGAATAAATACTATATTATGTAAACTATGAAATGTTCCCCCAAAAAAAGGATAACACAAAAAAGAGCAAGCTCTTATTTCCATTGTGGTCCTTAGCATTTGGTGGCATGACAAAGAGAGGTATTTCATAAAAGAAAAAAAATCACATTAATGAAGAATATCATTTAAAATGATCACAATTTAAAATGTAATGTAATGTAATTCATTAAAAAGTCAGTATCACATTTAAGAAATAATCACGTGCATATTAAAAAAAGATTACATTAAAAAATTATCACAGTTTAAAGGATTGTTGCGGTTTATTATCACAGGGACCATGGTGTGTTAAGAATAACTAAAATATGATCATACAGTTATGATTATGTAAGGAAAGAACATGCCATAGATTACACTATTCAGTAAAAAGAGAAAGTTTTTAAAGCCTAAATAAAAATTTAAAACAAATTTCAAAAACTGAAACAGTTAACCTGAGCCCAATTGTTACCCCAAGGTACCAGTTCTTGATAGATGTGGACGCTTCTATTGCAATGCCGTCACAATTTATATTTAACTCGGAATGTGACCTGCGTTTCTGTTTAGACCCAAACACAATGGAGTCAGTTTAACCTAAATGCAACGATAACTTATTATCAATTAACCATTGACTTACTGAAGATAAATCTTCAGATACAGAAATTTCCGCTTCAGATAGACTTTGTCCAGAAACAAGTATTCCAGAGTCATCAGCATATAACAACAGTCTATTTTTCAATACCGCTGACATGTCATTGACGTAAATTAAAAAGAGGAGGGGCCCAAGGATTGAACCCTTGGGAACACCACATGTTATACTTGAAGTAGAAGAAAAACTACCTGACACATCAACAAGCTGTTGTCTCTCGGAAAGATATGACCTAAACCACCTTATTTTACACAGCAATCAATGAATTATATACATTTATGTTGTATTTACCTTTCAGGTCTGCCAGATAACTCTTAACAAAGGTACCCTCATTAGCGGTTTCTATGGAAACTAAATGAGCTCCATAATGTGAACAAAATCTCTGTAAAATAAAAATGCATATAAAATGTAATGAAAATAATTCTTTAAAAGTTTATTTCACATTGTATTCAAATATTTCTCTAGTTCATTATATTTATTTAAAGGATGTTCAAGTCGTTGTTTCCTTGAGCAAGAAACTTTACACTCATTGCTCATTACTGGTTGGTTCCAGGAACGGATTCGAAAGTGTGTCTATAAGCTTAAAGCTTCCTACACAATCGAACTAAAATAAATTCTGTATACAAGTCTCAATAAAGTACTTAATGGTTTTATAGTTGTAACAAATGTCCAATTCGTATTTAAATAAATATTAAAATAGTTTTGATATAGTGTTTACAGACGCGTATCACGTTAGGGGCAGGATCTGACCCGCCAGCATCTGTGCTTGAGAATGTCTTATAATGTGCTGCAGCTATATATCTGTTTTGTGCAGCTTAAGCATAATAAACACTTGATGAGTCATATATAAGTGAAAATTATTGGGTAAAGATTGAAAAATAAAAGAACTTGTGAAACAAAACTATTTCTTATTTTATGGCATATAAAATGTCGTTATTCTCAGTTATTCTCATTTGTCACAGAAGGCCTCGTTTTAGTGGTACGAACACATAGTATCACGAATGATACATTTGGGGCATGCTAAAACAAGGGTGTTTGTCTTTGTACTTAAGCAATAGGCTTCGGTTTTAGCTCTGTAAGATTTTAGATCACTTATGTCTGTGTGTGCATCAACATTTTGCTTTGGTTCAATGTTTTTGAAATATGGTACACTTTTCCATTTCTTCGTGTTGTACATTTTTATGCTATCAGGTGACATGACCATGATCATGACCTAGGGTATAATGGACAAAGCCTCTTTGAATATTGTGTATGCATGCTGCCTATGTAATGCATATGTGAAGTTACAGTTAGATATAAGCAATTGTAAGAGAGATATGGAGAAAAACAAAGGCCTTCTCCAGTACAATACATTGGTGACCTTAAATTCAGTATATAACGGGCACAGCTTCTTCATGTACTTTGTATGCATGCTTGTAACGCAAAGTTTATGCAAAAAGTTGCAGTAAGATGCATGAATCAGCAAAAGTAACAGAGATATGACAGAAAAAACAAGTTACCAAGAAAACCAATGCATTGGCGGGTAGAATAGCATCCCTATTCTCGAATAGTGGAGCTAAAAACTGAAACTCAAGATAATTAAAAAAAACAACTACTTTCTGAAACTAAATTTATTTTTTTTTCGAAATTGATTAAAATGTATCCCTCTGTCTTTCTACCTATATTCTAGGTAATGATGGATTGATCATAATTGTCACAAATTATTATCAACAAAACTTTATAAACATAATAGCATGATGTAGGTTCATGAGCTTGAAATAAAGTCTACAAAGACTTGTTATTTTATATCAAACAAGAACTTCGCAAGTCGGACGTGTCGCCTGACAATAGCATAAAAAATTATTTTTATAAGCAAATAAGCAATTTGTAAATAAGCAAATTGGCAAATCGGCAAATAAGCAAATCAGCAATTACCAAATAAGCAATTAAGTAGATGGCAAATAAGCAAAGTGGCATGTCCCTACCGGCATTCCATAAAAGTACGCTTGATTTAACTGAAAAGAAATCTATATCTTACATTAGAAAAGTCACCCTTATAATATAATAGAAGATATTCAATATTAAAGGAAGGAAAAATCGAAAATCTTGTTTATTCTCAATCATGGAAAGAAAACGAAAAGAGTTTAGAAACAAAATATTATATTTTATGTGAAATTGAGATAGGGAGTAAAACTAAAACTGAAATAGCAATGATTTTCAAATTCCAAAAAGTACGCTCTCGGGTACTGTGTCTAAACTATAAATAAATGACTAATATTTCTATTTCTTAATCAAATGCTCTTCAAAAATGGCGGACAATGGTAAACAATCAGTTCGTTATATGTAAATCTGTTCGCTATAAAAGCTCCTGATACAAGAAACTAATTCGCTATATGCTTACAAGGAACTCCGGATATAAGGAACAGGTTTTAAATGTCCCAGTGAGTTCGTTATAAGCGGAGTTTACTGTAAACCAATGGTCTGAAATTATGCACACAGTTAAATGATATAACATTTAGAAAAAGCAACATTTCAGTCCCACCACATCAGCAAACCTTCTATGGAGTGTCTTTTATGGGACTATTACAATTGCATGATTTGTTTGTTATAGAAGTTCAAGTAATGCCGTACTTGTGTTTGCCATATATGGCAATGTAAATGACTTTCATGAAGGAGACAATAAGAAAAATGTTTCTTTCAAGACTCTGAGAATTACTTTGAAAAAGGTTGTTTTGTCAGTTGATTACCTGTTTGTCTTTCTTTGAGATATTGACATCCCAAGAGGCAATTCAATTTTATCATTATATATTTTTTTATCTAATAAACAAACTTTGTCTTTACAAGGTAGAATTAAAAAAGATATGTGAAGAATAAAGTAGAAATGCAATCAACCTACCACCCCCGACCCGCGAAAACAACAACATCAACAAAATAGCCCTATACCCCTAAAACGCAACAAACTATCAGCACGGGATGTTTTTACCTTACTCATAATGAATGCTCATATTGTGATGGTGATAATCTAAACGTCATATTCTATAAGTTAGCGTGTGATAATATATCACAAAAAAACTCAGCATATAACATGACGCATGACCCAACATAATAATAATAGTATTTGAACTGAACGCCTGAGACGGCAAAATTAAAATATTGCAGGCTCATTTAATAATATTTTTAATGACCATGAAAGACAGCTTTGTATTCCGAGTGCTGAAGATTTATACTAATTTTCAGAGCGCTTTGCTGGTAAACTAAATCACGTGCACGTTTTTTAAAAAAATGTATAAATTGTGGACCTGATTACGCCCGTGTGTGATTATGACGCGACACTGGTGTTTCGTGTATTAAAATGGTTCTTGAAAATATTTTGTATGTTTGTATATTATTTTTGTAGAAAGTGAAAGTGGACATTTAATTTCCAAAACAAAGAAGAATAACAACTAATTTCGCGCTATGATGCACACGAAACCACAGTTATTGGAGGAAAACAAAGAGTATATACCTCGGCATCTAAGAAATCTACATCAGAGTGACCAAAGAAATAACATGAGCTCTCATAATATGTCCATCCATTAGGGCATTCGCTCGCCACATAGTCTACAATAAAGAATGTCATATAATACAATGCTATATAATAGGAAAACCAGATAAAGTGATCCAAACAAAGAGTTTTATTTTATGTTTTACATTTGATTGTATGCATGTATGTTTGTTTGATTGGGTTTTAAGTTACACTGACAGTGTAGGGCTTATGGCGACGTTCCAGCTTTACTTGTAGAGGAAGACATCTGGCGCCCTTCCGTGCATTATTTCAGACACAAACGGGCATCTGAGTAGAACCACCGACGTTCCGTAAGCCAGCTAGTTTTATTGTATGTAACTTTTTTATTAGTTTAAGTAATATTTAATATTATTGGTTAGTGGTTCTGACGTGCTTATGCTTATATATACATGTATAGTTTTAGAAATTTTGCCAGTTAGTTAGTTTTAACTTATCAGTCAGTAAATTTCCAAAGGTGAGCTCTTTCGTTAAATATACAGTAATTAATATGTAAAGTATATTTTCGAATTCATAGCGTATGGACTATAAACACTTACCTTTAACTATAGAGCAGTAAAATACACAGAAAATTTGTACTGACCTCCACATTGTTTCAATTATATTAGCACACTTTTAGAATAGTAATCAGTGTCACGATTATGTAATTGTAAATTTTATCTTAGACGCGTGGTTGTTAAAGGCACTTTATTCGTCAAAAATGATTTTTGTTTCTTTCTTTAGGAAAAGCAAAAATGAACTTTACAAAGTTTAACAAATGGTTATAGAGTTAGTAAACTGCTTTTCACCTGACGGACGAAATTATTTGTCACAAAAGTAGCAACATCTAAAAAAAATTTTGAGACATAAATATTAAAGAATTTTGGAGGCATAATGACATTCAAAATGACATTTATCTATAACAAATATGTAAACTTTCAATTATGTATCTTTATGATATAAAATACATTACATGAAAAATTGTAAATTCAGTTATGCGGTACTCCTTGTTTGTTTAGGTAAGTACAAGAAAACAGGAGATTCCAAAGGAAGAATGATAAAAGACACAAACCAGGGAAATGTGGAACACTTACTATTATCATAACACCTACTGAAGTGGTATTCAATTTTAAAAAAACAATAAACAAACATAAAATGCAATTCTGAAGTAATGAAATCATAACTAATTTTCTTAGCGCATTTAGTGTACAAGAAGGATAAAGAAAAAAGATCAACAAATTATTTTAAAAATATCTGAATGAGAAGTATACCAATATGTTTTTGTTCAGTTTGGAAGAACGTTTAAGTTTACAGTATATATAAGTATATTACTCATTCTACAAAGTGTATATGCAAAAACTGAATATGAACAGCCACCTTTAACTATTTAAAATGAGTCAACTAGATAAGGAATGTCTCTTGATAGACGTATTTAATTTACTTGATTATAAAGCCACCATGTGTATATAAAGATTACAGATATAATTAAGTACACTGTCTATTCATTGAAAACGAAAATACAAAAGATACTTATTCGTATCGTCAGATCATGGTTTACACTGCTTGCTACATATTGTGGTGATCATTTAAGCTAATATAAGCTATATATTAAATGAATTTTGAGCCGGAAGTGGGTCAGCGGGCAATGAGCACGTAAACATACAGTAAAATGTGAAAAAGGCAACCCTGATGAAAAGCTACGGGTGCCAAGCAAAGGGACTACCTTTCAAGCCACCACAGCTTGTTAGGGCCTCATGCATCCTAGCGCCTTTCCTCGTTGTCAAAGTCTTTAACTTCACAAAACATTCATACGCACATAGAGCTTGATGTTCTTGGATAAAAAAGAGTGTTTGTTGAATTTTCAGCTGATAATGTGCCTAAAGTAAAGCTTAAAACTATGAATATTTCGATGTCTTGTTCTGGTATGATCATGCTGATGGAACTACAAAATTACTTACATGAACTTATGTTGAGGAATGTAATCTAATACATTATTAGAAATGAAATAAAATTTGTTGGATTTTGTCGAAATATAGAGGAACAATATGAAGATGTTTTAACACTATTATGGTCATTTCTGAACCTCTCTTTGTAAACACGTTGCCTGGATGCATCTGCGGATGACATCATTCAAAAAGTTATACTGAACTGAAGCTGATTTCAAATTGCCAAATGTTTGTGTCGCACACCACAACCGTCATGTTAATTTTCAGTTTAAAGCTACTCTCCTACACAAAACGGTGACGAAACATAGGTTCACCGATAACACATAAGCTAAACCGAAAACACTAATATAAGGTTTGAGCTACAAAGTCTGGCAAAAGATCAAGCATTGCAAAAAAGGCCCATTAGTATAAAGAAGGTAATGTATGTCATTTTCTTTACAATTTAGGTCCTCCAATTCCGGTAGCTATTCCTGACGGCAAATATGTGAATGCGGAATTTACAAGACAAAAGCTCTTCGGAAAATAAACAAATACCTTCGAAAACATTAGGTTTTGCCAATGTCTTCACGACAACGCGTCATCACACAAGGCGTCTGTGGTGCAAGTTTTTCTGAAGCAATAAAAAAGTCAATGTGCCCCTCCTCATTCGTATTCACCGGACCATGCGGTTTCTTTTTGTTTCCTAAGCTGACAAGCTGAAACATACCATTCAGGTTGACAATTTACTCAGCGCAAATACTTCGGTTCTGCAATATTCCAGTGTCTCCATAGTATAATGAAAAATACTTTGAAAATGCATTGAAATATTGGATCTGGAGACTGAAATTTGTATATGTTATAGGTAATAATTTGAGAAGAATAAATGCAGTGAAAGAAAAAAGTTTTACATGCTAAGATACAATTATATTTGAACACTCCTCGTAGTACATGTATATCTTATTTATCAACCAACCTTGGTTCTTTTATGTTAAAATGTTGGATGTTTTCATTCTTTTAGCAAACAAACAAGTTCTTAATTTAATTTATAAAAATTAAAAAAAAACAACAACAACAAAACAGTATGTATTTTTCAAATTATACACGTATTTAAGTTAAAAAACAACTTCAGATTCGTTTCTTTTTTAAATATTTCCCTTCCTGAATTTTGTAGAGTTCATTGCCTTTTAAAATATGCAGACGACAACATTTTGTGTCTTAATTATTCTATGACTTACTTTTGACCTATCAATCACGTGACTTAAGAACCTCTGTCAACAGATATACCTTATCTTATTGTTTAATTCTAAATATATACTTAAAGGTGGTTATACTTATTTCTTTTGTAAATGAGTAGCTTGTTTATATCGTAAACTGATGAGTACCTGTACTTACAAACCCAACATTAATGCTTATGACTTAATTATTTCTCGTTTAGAATTTAATATGACAATCATATTTGTGTGTGGTTCTGTTTCTTTCGATTATTTTCAGGCGCACAAAAATAATTGATCTGATTTGATTACCTCCAGTTTGTTTTAGGGATTTTTTTCTCTGGGGTACAATGATTTTTGTCTGTTTTTTGTTTTTTTTTTATAAAAGGCTTTGCTCAATATCTGGTTTCCGTTTGCAATTAAAAGTCAAACATAAAGATATAAAAAAAGAGTTTGAACGCCGTTAGATTGGTGAAATGGTCTATAATGGAAGGGTTTGTAATACAGCTAATAATATAGGGTTAACGCACGTTTTTCCGTGTTGTAACGTCTGCAGAGTCCCGAGGAACGGTTGGTGCCCGAGCCCGGTAGGGCGAGGGCTCCAACAGTTCCGAGGGACTCTGCAGACGTTATAACACGAAATAAACGTGCGTTGACGCTATTATAGCATAAAATTTTAAAACAGATTCATGATAAAACACAAACATTAAATCCTTGAGCTTGAACGGTATTTATCCAACTCTACATGTTTTACGTATGCGTTTTATTTTTTCCGGGGCCAACAACTTGAGAACCGAACAAAATTTCGAATTTTAATTGATTTAACAAAGTTTAACTTTGGAGATATATTAACTTAAGAAAAACATATCATTACTCTACCAAAGACAAAACAGGCGCCTCAGAAATTCCTAGAATGGTTACAGATTGGCGGTAGGAAAAAGATCAGTGACATCAGATTCAATTTCAGAATCGGTTTTTTAAGCACGCAAGTTTAAAAAAAATCAGGCATAAAACATTATTCTCTCAAAGAAACATAATGAACATTTATCAATATAAACGTCAATAAAACAACGTTTTCTTACATTCATTTTGTGCTTTCCATTTTTTAAGTTAATCGGGGGATTAAAGTGAATGACAGATTCTATTTGTTTACATTGACAACTGTCCGTTTCTAAGAAAGGGCGACAACCAAGATAAGCGGCGATGTCTATACGCCGTATTGCCGGCATAATTACTTGAATATGCGACTGAGGCCCTCGAATGAATAATTCCAATATAACAAGAGCGCATGACTCTGGCAAACAGGCCAAATCGTCATTTTTTGTTTGTTTTCTGGGCCCTGCATGTATTGCGCATAGGTAAAACCGGGCTATAACAAGAGCGCGTGACTATGTTAACGCATGGTTTTGGCCCCGTTATAACATGGGCAAAAGAGGGAAAAATAGCCGATTTTATGCTATAATTATGTTTATAGTATCAATTTCATTATAGATACATAGACTTTCAAATTCTTTTTTTATGCGTTTGAACATTTTCTGTTTCTTTATTAACCACGTGTTTAAGACGAAATTTAGTTAGACAACCTTTAATCGAAACGTGACTTTTTTTCTTTTCTAAAAGTGTGCGAATATAAGTGAAACAATGTGGAAGTCGGTACTTATTTTCTGTGTATTTTACTGCTGTATTGTCAAAGGTAAGTACATATTCCATACGCTACATTCGAAATATACTTAACAATATTATTTGTGTGAAATATACAATTATTTCATAAAGGAAATAACTTTGGAAATGCATATACTAAGAAGTAAAGATTGACCAAAATTTTTAAAGCTAAATATGCATGTCAGAAACATAAGTTCTAATCACAAGTATTAAATCTTACTTAATAAACGTAAATAAAAATATTTACATACAAAATAAATGTATAAAACTTTTTGTTTATATATTTTCGTTATGTTTGGTTTCTTATTTCAGTTTCCAAATTACTTATAAGCCATATTAATAAACTCTCTTCTGATACTTTTGCTCTGTTAACAATTGGTATAATAATAGTGAATCAGTATTTGTATGGAAGTCAAAATACTACTTTTTTATATTTTTCTACCTTAACGACACATTAATGCACGTTAGGCGCTACTTTTGTCAGTTGTTTAACATCTAACATGTTCTTAAACCATTATTAAACCCTTATGGAACACATGTTTGACATTTCTATAGAATAACAAGAGGGCCACGATGGCCCTGAAGTCGCTCACCTGTATATAGGCCCCCAGAGCGGGGCCAGTTTAAACCCCAGGGCTTTTGTTTGAACAAACTTGGTAGACACCCATTAGAAGATATTTCATGCTAAACATCTAAGGTTTGGCTCGTTGAGTTTTTAAAAAAAGATTTTTTAAGATTTAACTATACACCCCTAGGGCGGGGCCAGTTTTGACCCCATTTGACACTCACTAGAAGATGTTTCATGCTTAATATCTAAACTCTAGCTACAATGTATTTGTTTTTTTTAAATCAGATTTTTAAGTTTTTGCTATACACATTTTAGGAAAATCAATGACCCCCTGGGGCGGGGCCAATTTTGACCCCAGGGCTTTTATTTGAACAAACTTGATAGACACTCATTAGAAGATGTTTCATGCTAAATATCTTAGCTCTAGCTCTTTGGGTTCTTTAAAAGAAGATTTTATAAGTTTTTACTATATGCATATAGGGAAAATCAATGACCCCCTTGGGCGGGGCCAATTTTGACCCCAGGGCTTTTATTTGAACAAACTTGGTAGACACCCATTAGAAGATGTTTCATGCTAAATATCTTAGCTCTAGCTCTTTGGGTTCTTTAAAAGAAGATTTTTTAAGTTTTTACTATATGCATATAGGGAAAATCAATGACCCCCGGGGGCGGGGCCGATTTTAATTCTAGGAACAAAATTTGAACAACTTTGGTTTTGGACCTATAGATGATACCATAGACCAAATATCAAAGCTCTAGGCCATTTACTTTCAGACCAGAAGATTTTCACTATATGTATATAATGACCCCCGAGGGCGGGGCCAATTTTGACCCGAGGGCCATTATTTGAATAATCTTGGTAGAGGTCTACCACACAATGTTTCATGCCAAATATCTTACCTGTAGCCTTTGCCAATTCAGAGAAGAAGATTTTTTTATGTTTTACTATATACATATTAGAAAAACCTATGACCCCCGGGGTGGGGCCAATTTTGTCACTACGGACAAAATTTGTACAACTTTGGTATTGGACCTTCAGATGATACCATAGACCAAATATCAAAGCTCTAGGGTATTTACTTTCAGACCAGAAGATTTTTCAAGTTTTCACTATATGTATGTAAAGAAAATCAATGACCCCCGGGGCGGGGCCAATTTTGACCCTAGGGCCATTTTTTGAACAATCTTGATAGAGGTCTACTACACAATGTTTCATGCCAAATATCTAATATGTAGCCTTTGCCAAATCAAAGAAGAAGATTTTTTTAGATTTTACTATATACATAAAAGGAAAAACCTATGACCCCCCCCGGGGCGGAGCCAATTTTGACACTAGGGACAAAATTTGAACAACTTTGGTAGAGGACCCATAGATGATACCATATACCAAAAATCAAAGCTCTGGCCCATGTACTTTCAGACAAGAAGATTTTTTAATTTTGTGTTTTTGAAATCCTTTTCTGGCCCTATGACCTACATATGCAACAGACCGGAACCATTTGAACAACTTTGAAAGGGGACCACCCAAGGATCATTTCCGTAAAGTTTGGTTGATGTGCAGTCATTGGTTTCAGAGGAGATGTTGTTAATGTTCAAAAGTTGACGACGCACGACGACGGACGACGGACACAGGGCCATCACAATAGCTCACCCTGAGCATTGTTGCTCAGGTGAGCTAAAAATAACATGCATTTTTGAGGCATAATGTACCTTTATTTTGTATATACAAAGACTGTTTGTTTGTTTGTTTCATTTTTACACCTTTTCCCAACAGTATTTCAGTCACATAGGCGGGTAGTTTCCTAATCATCGTTCCTGGAGAGTTACACCACTACTAGACTACCTTCCTCCCCGCTAAACTACCAAAGCATCTCCCGGGGATCGAACCAACGCCAGAGAGGTAACTGGATTAGAAGTCATCGACTCTAACCCCTCGACCACGGAGGCGGTCACAAAGACTGAATGACCGATTGTTATAGGGCTTTAGAATCAGTATTGTATTATATGACCTTCTCCATTGCAGACTATGTGGCGGGCGAATGCCCCAATGGATGGACATATTATGAGAGCTCGTGTTATTTCTTTGGTCATTCTGATTTCGATTTCGTAGAGGCTGAGGTAAACCCTCTTGTATTCATATCCCATTAGTTGCGGTAATTTTCCTAACCAGGACGCCATTGACACCTTGCATCATCGATTGCCTTATTATTTTTTAAAACAAAAAATCTAAATACATGTACATGCAAAATAGATTCAATTAACATGTAAAACAATATTTCCAATAAACGCCATTTGTCATGATTTAGAACGATTGTTTATTTCATAACTACTTTGTTATATGAAGACTTCCAATTCTAATCATAGAAAGCAGTTATGAGTTTTTCATTTCAAATCGCTTGCCCTCCACCTTTGTTAAGCAGCTAATCAAATAGATCGGAATATGCAAAAATAATCCTCACTACAGAAGAAATATGGTGATAAATACTTCAAAAGAGTTCATTAATTGCATAAGTATATAAACATGTAAATGACTACTTAAGTTGTGAATATCATTTTTGTTTAACCCTTCTTAAAACGTTAGTACATTTTCCTCAAAGTTAATTTTTTTTAAATATCTTTGCTCACCTGTAAGCATACAGCTTTACAAGAAAAACATCATACAGAAGAGAATTATTTAGTACAGAGTTTGATAAAAGATAAAAAAAGATATGCGTATTATTCAGACATTCTGTTCACATTATAGTGCCCATTTAGTTACCAAAGAAACCGCTGAAGAGGGTACCTTTATCAAGAGTTATCTGACAGATCTAAAAGGTAAATATTTCATACACGTATATATGGAAATTATTCCTAATTATATATCGCTATGTTTTGAACATGCGTTACACGCGTCCTGATCATTTAAGCAAACCACAAACCTACAAATGTTGTTGCTCTTTGACAAACTCGGGAGACAAATGCATGTAAATATATCATAGTGTTAACCCCATTTACTTTCTTTGAGAAATCAGAGGAGTTACTTCAACACATTATGTCTTTTTTCACCAAAAGTGTCATGTTTTTTTTAACTATCATTTCAGACCCCTATCACTGGATCGGACTGACGGACGAAATTATTGAGGGAGAATGGAAATGGCAATCTAATGATTCTACATCAAATTATACAGACTGGTATCCGGGTCAGCCAGATGGACTTAAAGGTGCAAACTGTGCGTGCATCTTTGGCAATAGGTGCTATCAATGGCTTGATGTACCGTGTACCAGTAAATACAGACCACTTTGTGAAATCCCGTAATTATATCTTGACAAATATTATTATTATATTTCTTAAATTATGCGTTAATTATCAAATGCTTAGAATTTTTATATACATGTATAAGCAATCTTGAGGTATTACATTTATATATAAAAGGGTTAATTACATTATTTATAAAATACTTAAAGCTACATGCCTCCAGATAAATCAAAATATTTCAATAAAATCAAACTTAAGAAAAATGTACCAAAATTTTAGGAAATGTAAAAAGATTCAAGTTTCAAGTAATATTTTAAAGGTTCTATGCGATTAATGACTGATTTTTCAGTATTTACAATTATATTTCTACTGCGTTACTAACGCAGTAATGGCTATTTATGCATATTTTGACCACTTTTTAGTAATTTACGCGGGTTGTATGTGGCATTGAAAATGTGTAAATTGTTTCCATTTGGTAACTTCACAATATCAAACATTCAGATACATTTTCAAAATATTCATGAAAATTAGCATGCATCTGGAGGTGTGTTGCTTTAAAGAGAAGCTACGGCTGTGCTCCTTGATCTGTTGATTGATAGGCAATTAACAATACACAGTAAACTGACTTACATGTACCAGTTACACGTTGATGGGCATAAAATCACTTTAAGATTTCGCAACGTCATCATCATTTAAGGAGCTCACATTAAAACAATATGCTTTGTACTGGAATATTGCTTTTTTTTAAACAAATGAACAATTAATATGAATCATATTGTATTTTCAGGTCAAATGGAGAAACAATAATTGTCGGCTGATAGATTGTAAACATGCTGGTCATTTTATGTCGTTTTTTTTTAATTTAAGGAATACAGAGAAATAAATATGTTTTTTCGTTTTCTAATTTTGTTTTTGCTGTAAGAATTTAACAAAAATTCTGTAAAAGTATGCAAATGGAAAAAACTACGTCATTCTGTAATGCATTTTCTGGTATGTCTAGTACGTGAAGGTTTATCTACAGTGCTGTTCAGCTCGGAGGATAACTCGTAGAGAATGTATTTCAGTTTTCGTTAAATAATATTGTATATTCTCGGGATATACTTTATCAATGTCCATGGCATTATGATTAACCAGTACGAGCGTTTAAGCATCGTCTTTTTATAAATAAGTTTCGTCATGACAAATTCCTGACAAATGTTTCTCAGGCTCCTCCGGCTTTCTCTTGCACGCACAACACATAAAACACATAGGTCCTTTAAGTAAGATTATATAGACTTTTCTTATTATCTTTTCTTAAATCTGCATGCCTCCAGATGAGCAAATATATTTCAAGAAAATCCACATTTAAAAAAAATGTACGGAGATTTTAAGAAAAGTGAAATACTTAACAATTCAAGAAATAATTAACCTATTGTATTCAATTAATGACTGATTTTGCAGAATTTATCATCATATTTCTACTGTGTTACTAACGCAGTAAGGGATATTTTTTCCATTATTCTGGTCTACTTTTGGTAGTTTTCGTAGATTTCAAGTGCCGTTTGCAATGTGTAAATTACTCCCCTAGCTGATAATATTATACTTTTTAATCATTTAAAAAACAAATCATTAAAATTGGCATGAATATGGAGGCATGCTGCTTTAAAGAAAATATTAACGATGAAAGCAATGATGCAATTTTGAAAAGGAAAATAAGAAAATAAGAAGAAATTATAGCCTAACTACAAAATTGACACATATTTTTATTTCTTTCTATACAACATGATCACTGATGCTAATAGAAGCAGAAACTTGTTTTAAGAACTGCTTAGATTAGTCGACCGTCATGTTTTTATTTAAATAATCAACTGCATTCAATAACGTTTGATTTCAGTTAAAAAGGAGTTCTACAGGATTCAAATCAATATTTTGGCATAATATAATTGAATGATAATGTTATTATCAGCTTTTCATTTTTTTTCGAACTACTTCAATAATGTTGTTTGGCGTGTCAAAAATGACAATCAAATCGTGAATTTTTAAGATGCTACAGGCATTATATTAAGACTGTGCTCTCCTTTTTATACATGAAAGCAAATGGATACATTTGAAAAACAAAACAATATACATTTTAAAACACGACATATATTTTTAATCTATGTCTAAATTCATATCGTCATTGCATATATTTAAAACATCTGTATAGTCAAATCAACTCCTTTTGTTAACAGTGATATGTTTGTTGGTTTGTAATAGTGACACATATTAAACATTACTGATGTTGTTTAGTTTTGAAATCCTTATCACGAAACTGTTTTAGAACGGTGCCCAAGGAGGGGGCTTTTCGTTAACTTTATGATTTTTCAAAGCATAAGCCGCCCAGTAGACATGTTGTAGAAGGAAGTCCAGGTCCTCTGTCAGTTTTTTATCTTTCGTTGTTCCGTCTTTATTGATTCTTTCATGGGCATGGGGGATGCTCATTTGATTTGGCACGGAAATCATTCCTAGAGCTCCAGTGAAGGTCCGTAAGTGCACACCAACTCTACAACCTCCGAGTGGACCTGGAATGAATCAAAGAAATTAAAGTGATAAGAACAAATACCTATGAGTATAAGCAGAAAAGACATACATTTTATTTTAAACATTAAATTTAGAATGGGTATGCAACAACGCACATCTGTTTTTTACCATAGTCAAAATAATTTCAAAGACGAAATGCCTACAAGCCTTCTTGTGTTAAGATCTAAAACAACAACAACAAAAAAAATAATTAAAAAAAATAATAACGAAAAAACAATAAAATTATGCTAATAATTATCAAATAAATCATAATAAAAATATAAAATAATAATATTTATAATAATAAAATATAATAAAAATAATATTTATAAAACATTATAAAATAAAATAAAGAAAAAATATCAATAAAATAACAATAAAAATAAAAAAATAAAATAATAATAATGATAATTAAATAAATAAATGCATATATAAACAAATCGTAAAACAAAACATAAAAAGAAAATAAACCATGCTTACCTATTGCATAGTTGACAAAACCACATGGTTTCCACACTAGAGATGCAGGAGGTATGTTATCAAACAGGTTTGCTAGTGGCGGTGGTAAACTGAAATTATATTCAGCACATACAATGACAAAGGCATCGAACTCTTTCATTTTGTCGTTTAGCTCTTTGATATTCTCAGGAACTGCTGTCGGGTTGAACATAAAATTCAAAGACTGTTGAGTTTGAGGAAAGTCTATTGTAGCTGGATCTAAAAAAAATAAAGATATTTTATAGAAATATTGATTGATGTCACCTTATACGCAAAAATGATCTTTTTTTCATTAATTTCAGATTACATAAACCAATTTACATTCAATATTACCAGAATATGATCAAATATCAACACACATGCTATATAATAAATAAATCCATATGCATTTACTTGATATTCATTAAGTTGTCACTGTTATTGCGAGAACAGAAGAGAGAACGTAACATTACCACTAAAGGGTTTGCAAGATATTTTATAAATAAATAAAATGTATAAACAGTCCCAATAACTATCAGTGTCACGTACCAATAACTTCTACCTTATGGTTCTTCTTTATAGCGTGCTCTACAAATCTAGCGACCTGGTCGTTAAGTCGGCCCTCGCGAGTGGAACTCATCACGAGAGCAATTTTCAGCTTGCTGGACATACTTCTAGAGTTTTCTCTTCCAGACTCACAGTCCTAAAGATAAATATAAATGTGAACATCATGTTACATACTAAAGACCGATAAATATGATATTTTCTGATTATCTACCTCGTACAACTTTGAGTTTCCTAGCAAGGGCAATGATTATTTTACTGGTCCCTTATGCGCACCAGTACGAATCAGCTTTTCATTATTTAATTTTTTATAGAACGTTTAAGACAAATATTTAAAAAAAACAAGCCAATTTAACCATGCGTTATTTATTATTTATTTTACTCTTCGTGGATTATCTAGTGGCAACATCACTTAAACAAAATTACAACGTTTACAATACGAATTCAAACTTTGATTTACAAGCTAGGTCGAAATTCAAGTGCAGCTTGGATTTTTTTTAAAATTTGACCTATGATTTTCAAACCGGCTCTATATTGTATCTTTTGCGACATTTTTCTGGAATTTTAACTCAAACGCACATATTTGAGAACAATATGTATTTCATAAGCAAACCGCTTATCAGTTGATGGTACAGTGTTACTTTTACAGGAACATATATTGTACTGAATATACATTTTTTGTATCAGTTACAAGTGCCCTAATATAACTGTACAAATAAATATATCTAAAAAAGTCAATTTTAAATGAAGTATATGCTCGCCCATATGGTTCCTTTCGGTGGCGAGTGTAAACAAACCACACACAAAGGAACGCACGCACACACGCACGTACGCGCACTCACACATGTCCCCTACTGTAGAGAAGTAAATATATTTCTTTCTTAAGTGTATTGTAAACTGATATTTCACGTGAATTTCTTTTTATTTTAAAATTATATTAATTACAGCAATTTAGAATTTAAATATTCATAGTATTTACCTTAATTTTATTCAGCTAATATCACTTTTAAAATGTCCCTGCGTGATAGTTTATCTGAAAACTTCTTTTTTTTCTTCAAGTAAAATATATAAAAATATTTCGTAAATTACGTCATCTGCTGATAACAGAATATTTATTGCAGTCATGTCCGTTCTTATAACTGAAAGTAAAATCAATACTTGATTTGGCTATACATACTCTGATACTCAAATTTGGTTTTACCTGATAAAACACGAATCAATTTCTTCGTCTATAAATTGAATGATATTATTCCCAGCAATCATGACATATCTAGCCGAAATTCGAGAGATACTTTTTTCAATATCGGCTCATTATCGGTTTTGCATAATGACGATATATCGGGACGACGTTCTTTTAAAAATAAAACCTATATTGGACCGATATAAAAAAAAAACTACCGGCTCAGTTTCGGTTTTGCAAAGTTGACGATATAACGGGACGACATTCTGTTTAAACATAAACCGATATTAGACTGATATATAATTATAAAAAACTACCGATGTGATAATGCAATATTGGACCATCATCAGAAGTCAATATTTTTATCATTTATGGACCAAAATCAGCGATGACTATTGATATGCTATTATAGATCATTGTCGTACCATTTCAATCTAGAGCTGTCACTTAAACTTTATGCTAACTTGAATATTTTTTTATAGAATTTTCAGCCTCCGTACTTAAACTGAATAAAGGGAACACAAAGATTTCATGGATTTCCCTGACATTATGTATTTTGACGAGGATAAAACTAATAACAATTACCAATAGATAGATTTGTCAGACTTATGTATAAGAAATCTTCCCAACAATAAAATTCAAGGACAGGTAACGCGGAAAGAAAGCTCATGACTCCCGTATGTGTTATCTTATATGAATCAATACATGTATTCATACTTATCTGTATTCAAACAAACTAAGCTTTTATGAATAAACTTTGCTTATATATTAAACGATGCGTATACAATATAAAATGAATCATGTCGGGAATTAATTAAGTATACGTGAGTGTTTCGGTTTTAGTTATTTGATGTTTTTAAGATGTATTATCAGCCTTTTTGCATATTTTCAAACAACTTTCATTCGCATATATCGGTATTATATTGTACATTTTAAACAATTCATTCAGTAATTTATTACTTCAAGATCAATGGAACACAGCCGTTGCTGTGAACAAGAAACTCATTAAACAAATATTCAAGCAAAAACCTGTGTATGATTTAATTGCTTTCAAATCATTGTTATCTAATGTAAACAAACATTTATTTTAGCTGACAATAGAAAGTGATTATTATGGATAACTAAAATCTGTCAGGAAAGAGCTTCTGCTATCAATTACTACATGTAAACATTTTAGTTTGCGTTCAACTTTAAAAAATATGGTTGTATTTTAGCTCGAAAAAATTTTCTTACAAGATCGAAGATAAAAGTTCAAATTTATTGTAAGTAACATATTGACTTGGAGTTGAACTTTGAGCTTAAACGAAGATCTATATTATTTTTTTCTAAAGTTTAACTTTGAGTATGAGTTAAATTTTATGCCGGTTTCCCTCATATTGCATAAGTAGCATAGATGAAGTAGTCCTGTTACAATAAAAAATCAAAATAAATGAAGGGCCATAACTCTAACAAAATCATCTAACTGGTAAACGCTGTTGAAATGAAGAACTTACCTTAGTGATGATCATTCTGTGTTGAAGGAATTGCACTAGTAGTTTTTGAGGTGTAGAACGGACAAGTTTTATGTGACGGACGGTTTTACGGATGGACCAACAGACAGCCAGACGGACAGACAGACGACAAAGAAGTGATTTCTATACATGTTCGCCTCCACTCTGTAGCAGGCAACACAAAAAGGAACGCTCACAAGAAATTAAACCAAAAAAAAATCTACCAAATATTTAACAAAAACAACAAAGACAGCAACACCAAGAACAACGAAACATCAACACAAGAACAAAAAAAACCCATCTCAACAACAACACCAAGGAAAAAAAAAAGTTCACCTCCAAAAAACCAATGCAATAATAAAATCCACAACACAAAATTAAGTTTATCCCACCTTTAATAAGTTGGCCGACACAAATTAAAATTCCTATCTCTAGGCATCGATAATAATAGCGGTACAATGGACAGACGGAATATAAATAATCCATTGACGTTGTAATATTGTAAATTTGCTGAAGATATTTAAGATTCTATAACTAGAAAAATGTTTGCCATAAACAGCTACTGATAATCAGTTTTGATATTTAATGAACTTTATAAAATTATAGTACTATTGTACTGTTAAACATCTGATTAAAGACCTTACTAAATTCAAATACTTCAGTCCTAAAAGGCTAGGCCAAATATCTTAAAACAATAAATACTTTTTTAAGCAGCGTAAGCTCAAATGCTTACACTGCTTAAAACCACAATAGAAAGATCAAGTAAGCAACACCACACCAGCAAAAGGGTTGAGCTTTAATACAGTTTCTTTTTTTATCTATACTCTATCTGCTAATATCGGTTATTATTTACTCGATCCATGTTTTGTTTGGTTTTATGGCACCTAAAACAGATGTTGACGCCGAAATAGGACAGATGCTTTTGGCTAACCCCGGATGTTGCAAATTTGAAGCAACACAAGGAGTCAAAACCACCTGACCTACTAGAGCTTAGGGATTCACAGACTCCAGTATTTCGAACAAATTTCGTCGCCTCTTACGAACACGCAGGGATGAATGGTGGCTGCAATTCTGATGCCTCAGCCATGTAAGGCAATCCCTCAGCCAAAGGCTATGGGGTCGATCTATGTTAATGCTTGGAAAAAGAAGCACAAAGAACAGGCCTGATGCTGTTGCCTACACAATAAAATGTTCCTTATTGACCATAATTTAGCTGATATTAAAAAAGTCACACACTGTTTTAAGTTTTGTGCTCCAGAAACAAACATTTTGTTTGGCCTAAATATGTCAATAGGTTAACGTTTAAAAGTATGCATAGTAGTACGTGTCTAATCACAAAAACAAAATGATTTACACGCATGCTTTCAGTTAAAAGTTATGAAATGTAACCCATTTCACATCAGATCTGTATTGTCCTATATATATATATATATATATATATATATATATATATATATATATATATATATATATATATCTATACATCAGCATCTTGAAACAGTTTCTCCTTCCGAAACCTTGTCAAACCCTTAGATAAGGTTGCTGTTCAAAGCTTTATCACATGCAAAACTTGAGGTCGCAGCTCTTTATTATTCTACTTGAGGTACACAATTTCAACATTTCTTCATAACAATACTTGTTAATAACAACCTAACAATACGGCTGTCCAAAATTAAAAGCCAGATTTTCTGTATTATGTGTCAGTATCAACCACACACTTTCCAGACAGTCAAGTACTTATAAACTCTATATGTCAGACCTTGTTTTTTTATTTGAGGATCAATTTTTTAGGTAACCTATTTTAAGCTTCAACATACATAACTGTAATTCAAGTTAATCTAGACAAAATACAGTTGTAGTACTTTGAATAAATCTTAGATGTGCACTTAACATTTCGAAATATAATTAACTATGATATATTCATTGATGATTATGTGTCGTCTGATGACAATAGTGAATATGTGATCTTCCGTGAAAGTACATACTATAATTTGAGTTATGATTAGCCTATATTTGTTTCTAGTTTGAGATAAAATTTGTTGCAAAAGTAAGTAGAACATGGGACAAATTTTTAATCTTAGATCATTCATGAAGGTCAAAAACGAGAAACCGAGGAAGATAAGAGAACTTGAGGTAGTTGCTATAAAACGATCTACTGATACGCAGTTATTGTACTGAATTTGAAAAAAAAAATGAAAACTGTTTTGGCACTATTTACAATTATAGGTATGATTTTGTTACTTTTTCAATTTGTTTATCAAAATTATTATGCAATTGTGGATTTTTGTTTGTTATAAATCAAACTAAATAAACCAAATTATTTTGATTCTGTACTACACAAAGGCCACCTTTTTATTTTGAAGTACATTTGTATATCAATTTCTAAATTATTTTATTGCTTTAAATACTGCTTATACCACGTGACCTTTTTGCTATCAGCATTGGGCAGAAAAACTAAAAAAAAAAGAGAGGTTGTATAAAAATAATGTAAAATATTTAAAGACATTATGAACGAAATTACTACGTAGACCGGCTTAAGGCCTCCTGATCTTGCTTACATTTCCCAAACTATATTTCAGCTGCGGCAGCGGCATTTGATTGCTTTGGAAGAAACAACTCATGTGCAAATTCCCATGTGAAATGCGACACAGGGTACGATCCTTTCTGTGAACACTTTCCCGGTCCAATGGGCATGCGTGTTGGAATATGCACCTGCGATAAAGGTAGGACCATGTCTAAAGAAATCATCTTTTTTCATAAATATATATAAAAAATGTTAATAATTATAACTACTAACTGATTTTATGTGAAATACTTATTGCAATGTATATCTTTTTATGCAATCCTCTCTTTGTTTTTATTTTGAGATTGCACCTCTGCAGCTGACTGCTCAAACACAGGCGCTGACGGTTGCCCTCCTATGGCACATCCGGCTTGCGATGCTGTACATCACGTCTGTCATTGCTTTGGACCACACGTATGTACAAACTTGTAATGAACAATGTCAACTAATTGTAGTTTTATAATTTGAATTTTTCAACATCCAATTAATTTTCCAAAATAAATTTATATATTGAGTTGCGACTTATACCTGGCCACGTGACTTAAAAATTGATTGAGCATATAGATGCATATTCGGATATCGATATTTGTAACAGCAAACACTGTTTCTTCAAGTAAAACTTTTTTTTGTATATGATTTGTTTCATTTTTAACATCAGTAAGATTTTATAATTGATAATTTAATGCTAATAATCAATGAGACACGAAAAGTGAAATTATTGACCACTCTTTATGAAACAAAACAATGAACTAGTCATTTTTCATCCCGCCCCATGACATACTTATGATCTGAATCGTGCATGTTTTCCAATTAAAAACATGACAAAATAGAAATGCAATAATCTGCGAATTACTAAAATGTACAAAAACAATAAATAGTCTACCTTGGCACATTTGATTAGACTTAGCGAGAATATTACCATCTTATTGTCCCCAGCACATACAGCGGATATTTTAACTGGTTTTAAACAAAAGTCCCCGCTGATTTCCCAGTGTGAGAAAAATGATGCATAGTTATAGCTTAAGTCTTAGTTTGTAAAATATTTGACAATCTTTCCATTTCAGACTAGACCACCACATTTCGAAAACGAGTCATCATAAAAGCTTTTGTAATACAACTAAAACAATTTGTAATGAAAATATGACTTACAATCAGCTATTTTTATTCATGACACAATCAGCTATTTTTATTCATGACATTTTGCAACGGTAAGTGTTGCTTTAATATAATGACATGTATAATGTATAAGAAGATTTCTTGAGGTCCAATTTAGGCAGTCGTCAACTACAGCTGTATTGAAATTTGAATAAAAAGTGTCACAGTATTTTATCGAACGAAAATTACAATCTAATTCTACTTCGATTAAGAATTAAGTGTATAATGCCTATATTACAACTGTTTTTCATACCAAAATTGACCTACGATAACTAAAGCAACAGAATTAACACACATCTAAAATGTTTACCTATTTATACAGATAAGATAACTTTTGCAAAGTTTGTTTAAATGTTTCTAAAACTGTAATAGAACCATTCTGACACAAAAATTTAATCAGCTGACATATTGACTTTGCATTCATATTTTCAAACCTAAGACCAAGATACAAGACAAAAGTCGCCATGACAAATGGAAGATCTAGCTATGTAGAAAGAAAGCTATGCACAACGTTCATATGCTGAACACTTGTCCAAATAAATGTTACCTCAAAGCAATATAGTTATAGTTCACATAAATATCATTTTTATCAATTAAAGCCTGACATTGTACAAGCTGCATGGGACAGAAATGGTAAAACATGTATGCATAATTATTTTGTTCGTATAAGACACGTCCCTTACACGCACTTCACTTTCTGGAGAAAAATACAACAACAAACATTCAAGACGTATACAATTGCAAGAGATAAACACATTTCGGACCTTGTAATAGATTGTTGCTGACGCAAAATAATGCTTTTGGCATAACATTTTAACAACTTTTTTTACAGACTCTTAAACAGTTTGATTAAATTTGACTTTATACTGAAAGAATAAAAAAAACAGTGGCAACGTTGATAGGAAAACTCGCTGTAATACATGACATATGCATTACCAAAACCAATTTTGTATTTTAAGGTCTTGAAAATCCCCTTGATCATACTAAAAAGATATAACATCAATAACCGTTGACTTTGCGAGTTTTGTTTCAATTGATATAAAATATACTGAATGAAAGTTTTCTTTAAGAAGCCATGCTACTCCTAAAATGGTATGAAACACCCATTATCGTAACTGTTCAGGTAAAATAGATATCCATAACGTTCTCAATCTTATCATAATACTGTAAATATTTTATATTTTAAATAAAAAAGCAAATCCATTTCTGCTTTTAATGTCTGAACATTAACAGTCTTGCCTTTTTTGTATAACAGGATAAAACATTTCTATCACACAAGTCAAACAACGTAAATTGTCAAAATAAAACACAGCTAAAAGAAATAAAATTCGTGAAAGTAACACTTACAAAACTTGAATATTATTCATCTAATTTAGTTTGATAATATTTTATCGTATATTTGTACATGATAAAGTGACACAATTTAACATCATTATCTTTTAGCATAGATACAAATTGTATATAAAAAAGTGTTTGGCCCAAAGTTATACCAACATTATAAGGGTCAATCATATTAGTATAAAGGTAACACAAATTAATTTATCACATAATCGTGCCGTTTTTGCGACTCCGTAAAAATGGTATTGCACGTCCGTGCATATATTATGACGTGACGTAATTTGCGTTATACAAACATAGCTTCAAGACAAAGTAACACTTTAAGCGCGCCAATGCAAAAGCGATTTTCAATTCTGGATATGTAAAAATATAATGTTATATTCATGTAGACCTATTTACCAAATTTATTGAACTCGTTGAATAAAATAATAAAGCCCTCCAGGGGCTCGCATAATATGATTTCATTCAACTCGTTTAATAAATTGACTATTGAACCTACACTTATTCAATGTCTCCTATGTATTGTATGGTTATATGTATGTAGAGACAAATGTGCTAGACAATTTTAACTAAACCACTGTAGGTTATTCCGCTTAGACAGATATAACGTTTGATTAGACACAACTATTGTGCGTTTTGTGCATCAGACTTGAGTGATAATTATTTCCTAGTTGATCGTTTAAATCAAAATATTCACATAAAAGCTACATGACTCAAGATGAGCCAAAATATTTCAAGGAAATCAACCCTCAGAACAATGTACTAAGGATTTAGTACATTAAGAAAAAGTAAAAATATTCACAATTTAAAAAACTATTTTACCTGTTTTATGCAATTTATGACTGATTTTGCAGTATTAATCAATAAAAGCTTTTTTTTTTGCACATTCTGACCTATTTTCTTGATAATTCCCGTGGATTTTAAGTGCCGTGTGTAGCGTGTTACTCTCTTTCTTCACTTGACAATGTTTTACTTTGTGTGGTGGTGTACTTTCGTTTCGCCGGATGCCATGTGAAGACACGTGGATGGATACATATTATCGAGTTTTTCGTCTTGCGCCCCGTAGAACAAGTTCTACAAATTGTTGAGTTTTTGTAATTCCTTTTCTCGTCCGGCGCCCAAGGGAGCGAAAGTACGACATTGCACAAATAAGTCGTCTACATTTTTAAAGTGCATTAACAAAATTCTTGAAAATTAACATGAATCTGAAGGCATGCTGCTTTATGCATATATTATGCTCATTTTTGCTTAGAAAGCTATATTCGCCTATTACTGATCAAGTTAATTTGATCCTTTCTTAAAAAAAACCCTGCCACTTTTTTAATAATTTTATTGACACTTTGTATTTTTACAACTTCAACATATAGTGTGTACTGACATTAAAAACGAAACATATCTTCTCTGTTGTTTAAATTACATTTTGAAAGGGATAGTATTGCAATTATCAGTGTTTTCAAATATCAAATTTGGGCATAAATAATGTTGTATAGTTATACATATGCAGAGACAAATGTGCAGGGCAAATTTGATTGAAGAATTACAGGTTATTTCGCTTAGGCAGGACAAGCGTTTGACAACATATACATATTGTGTAGTGTGCGCAACAGTTATGTGTGACAACGTTCGTATTGTATTATAGTTTAGACCTTTCTGTTGAAAATGTGTCAGAGTTAAATGGTATACATATACATGCACAGTGCGTTAACTGGAGTGCAGATATTAGTTACCCGCACTCCATAGCATACCCATCGATTGGCTCATTTTTTTCTGGGGTTTACTTATTGTGACGGCAGAGCAAGGGTTAGCGATATAAATATCATATTTAAATGCTGGTGCATTGCTGTTTTTTTGTGCCATGACTTCATATTGTAACAACCAAGAACGTGTTTTTTATTTTTGCCCATGATACAAAAGAGAAAGAACATCAAAACACTTGGCAATCAGATTTATACCCGGGAGCTACTTAATTTGAGCATCATATAAATTGTATAAAACCATAAAATAATTGTGTTACATTATCTTTAATCAGAGCTAGAAAATATAAGGCAAAAAAATATATATATAGAAATTTAAGAGTAAAATTAGTAATAGAAAGAGCATCGAAACACGAGGCTATCTGATTAATTTGTGCGAGGGGGCGTAGCCATCGATAATATATCAGATTGCAGAGTGTTTTGATATTCTTTATCTTTTGTATCATAGGCAAAAATAAAAACGCGTTCTCTGTCGTCGGAATATTAAACCCCCTCAAAAATCAACCAATGTATAAGCATCTGAATATGACTTTTCTATCGGTATCTCTTTTCCTGTCGTCGCAAAAAATTAACCCTAGAAAAAATGAACCAATCAATGGGTATGTTTTGCAGTGCGTGTAATTAACACCTGCACTCCAGTTAACACATTCTGCATGTATATGTATGTATACGATTTAAATCTTTCAACATTTTCAACAGAAAGGTCCCCTAACTATGATACATTACGCATTTAAAGATTTGGAAATATGCGTTAGTTCCGATCAAATCCGCAAGCATAATTCATATCCGGCATAGAGTAGTTAAATGCAGTATAAGGAATAAATTTAGGTTATTAATTCTACAAATCCTAATTTTATTCTGTAATCAGACTACCCCGATCAGTAATTCCCCGAAAGTGTAATATTAGTACCGCGTCAATATAAATATATTTGTCCTGAATAAGATCAAGTCTTTATGATCTCTTTACAAAATAAGATTGTTTTATTGTAAAATAAGAAAATCACCTGGCAGAAAATGTCTGATTTTGAAGAAAAAAGAAAACTAATTTATTAATTGAACCAATATGTGTGTAATAAATTCTACTTTACTCAATTAATTTACCTTTGACAATCAACTGTCACAATGTCTGTGGTCTATGGCAGTAATAAATATCATTTGTATTTGGTTTAACAAGAAGAAAACAGCATAATTGAAAATAGATATGACAAAAACGGAACAGCCATTGTTTGGTGAAATATCACATTCAATTATGTGGATGTAATCATATAACTTTGAGCAATTTATATCTCCAATATTGGCTACCACAATGTTTTGACATCGGAAACTGACATTTATGGAAAAAAGGTTTACCATCGATGTGTTTTCTTTACCGTTTTATTCCTTTTGAATTCTGAAGAGAATTTCAACTTGACTTTTAGCACCCCGTCAGCAGCACAGACTAGACAACACGAGAATTGTGTTTATGACACAACAAAACACAAGAAGAAACACCTCGTATTTCGCAATATACAATCGAACTTCGGTAAGTCGAAGTTGAAGGGACTTGCGTAAAAACTTCGACACATTAGGACTTCGACTCATGAATCCGACTCAATTTAATGCCAAATGTTTTAGCCGTTGACGTTTACAAGCAATTTACAGGCGAAATATTAGGAAAGGTGATAAACTAAACCATCATATAGTAAATATATCCCCTGTGAATATCAAGCGACACCGGGTCAAGGAAGTTCCCAAATAAAAGTTGTTCTTACTCTGTATGTCATGCCTTTGCTTTTACTTGAGATTGAAAAAGAATGCACATAAGCAACTATGTTGATACAAAGAACCAACAACCTCCGGTTGGTTTACTGTCATGAAAATGTTCTTTATTCACAAATTTATTTTTTATCATATTTCACGACAAA